ATTGGAGGTGCAATCAAAAGCTCGTTGCTAGAAGTATCCCGTTTCACACAAGTAAGGTTTTGAAGCTCCGGCCTGCGTCAACGATCAAAAATAAAGGACGCCGTTCTCTACGCCAAACAACCGAAGCTAAAGTGGACCGGTCACGTAATGCGTATGAACGACAACCGATGGGCAAGAGCCGAGAGTGGCTGGTTATCTCGGAATGTCATACGCACTGTAGGAAGACCACCGACCCGATGGTGAGAGTTCTTCGCGAAAAGCTCAGAAGAAAGTCATGATGCTCAACGAGTCCCTAGAGGGAGCAAATTCCACTGGGTTACTCTTACACGCGACAGAGAAAAATGGAATAATTACTGGCGCCCGCTCGAGTCACTCGACGATCAGCGGGACTACATGTGATACAGGTGATACAGGTGACCTCAGACAAGAGATTTTTGTTGTAAGGGAACACTTCGAAAAAATGCAAGGAAATGTAAAGGAAAGGAAGTGCTTCGTGAACTAATGAAGGGAAAGAACTGGTTTCATGCATTGATTTCATGGCTTTTCCCTGCAAGTTATGCCATTTCGTAAATGCAAAGAATTGTTCCTTTGAACTGTGTTGTATGATGCAGATTCGCTTTCTAGAAGAGTAACTCCTCTCGAGTATGAACTGGTTTTCCTCTTCAAAATGAAGAAGGAGCTTGTACAAATCCTTCCACTGCCAGGGTTGATCGTGACATTTATCATTCGTTGTCACTCATATGTTTCGAAAAGTTCATTCTGAGTGACTTTGTCGCGAATGCACGTGACGAATGGCTCATGCCCGGCTGTCTTATCGCAATACCTTAGGGGCTAAACATATTGACATACAATGTTATACTGGGAATCAGACAACCTGTGAAGACATAGTTATTGTGTTATAGAAAGAGGAATAACGCCTGTAATGCCTCCAAAGGAATGCTTTGCAACTTAATTTTGCAAATTTTGTAATTGCTAGCAAATAGGCGAAAAATAGGAAATCTATCAAACTAAATTAACGCACAAAGAGCAGCCACATAAAGTAAATTGAAAAAGGATTGGTCTGCTAACATTGATTCATGGTTTGCCACACTGCGTTGTGTCTCGTGGATAGAGCAAAGATAAAGACTTATGTCGACTTTGTGACGGAAGAGGCAATTTCATCTTGACACGGTGCAATGTAATGAGGCACCCTTGTATTCATTTGGCCATCGAATCTCATTAAAGATCTCATTAATTTGCAGTTGCTTATGATAGGTTTTTTTGTATAGAAAAAAGTACTTGATTTTTGATTCACTCGAGGACGATATTGCACCCACCTCGTTCGTATATAATATTTCGCGGAATTCTTTAATAAATTAGGGATATGCTGCTGTTGATCAATGAGATCAATTAAGGCTGATGAAATTTTCATTTTATTTTTCGCCGTACTGAATAAAACCATGCAGTCCATCCGACCTATTTATAGGTACGCCAAGGTAAGATATGTGACATTATAGTTGAAGTTTTTACCTGTGGGTTAAACAAATGCAGTGGATGTGGAAGTGGGTGGAGCGCACCCAGTCCTTCCGCTTGTCCATCTGTATGCTGGGCTTTGCCCGCGTTAGACCTTAATCAGTCCGCTACTCGTGCACTATCCATTGTATATATACGAAAATCCGACATTTCCATGAACAGCAAACTAGGATTTTTATTGCTGTGAGAGTTTTTATTTGCGATATTTCATCCTCGTTTTTATTCCTATCATTGATTCTTTACTAAGCGCACATATTTAGCGTTTTTCTTTTAGCTTCTGCATCACATTAATGCTCTTTACGACCTCGATTTCATGTAACTGGTTTGAAATTTTATTACCACTTGTCTGATATCACGTAACAAGAATTCAGTTCAGAATCGTGATCTGTGGCAGTGATTCTTAGAGCGACAACACTAAATCTCTTCATTAAGTTGGCGAAGCAATCAGTCCCGCAAATGCTCTCATTGTTAATCTCAGGAATTTATTGGAAGTTATCAAGAGATCCTCTCAGCACTGTTGCATGTAACATCTTTAGCATACGTTAGACAACTAGATCAACTAACAAATATCTGCGAGAAAACCAGTAGCTATGAAAGTCTCCAGTTCTTTGTTACATATGTTAAGCTAATGAGATTTGGCCGTTACATTGTCTACGATCCTTCCATCGACTAAGAGCAGGATCATTACAGCCAAAAGAATCGTTTCCGTCTTAGAATAATAATAATCGCAAGTGAAGTCTAGAGGAAGTTCTAGCGCAATTTTCTCAAAGTTCCAGTAAAAATTATGCTTCACCGCACGTCAGTGAGGAGAAGAGGCCACAGATCTTCGTGTTGCAATCAAGCCGAGAAACGTTTTCAACTGCTTTAAAGCTATCGAAACAAGTTAAGTAAACACTGAGGCCAACACGCCATATGAGGAAGAGCGATTTAAAATTCTAAGCATCCAAATTGAACTGTTAAATAAATTATCACTCCACCAAGCTCTAATCTGAAAGTGCATAGCCTGGATCTCTACAACATATATTGTTATGCATCGTTTTTGAAACTCATTCGATCTTAAATCCAGCGTGGATTTCTGATATTAGAAATTTCTGTGACGTTGTTAGCTTATTTGTTCTTCATGAGCTCTTCATGAGAGTGTGGAGAGTTGTGGTGAGCGTATCATTTTTAAACACATGAATTTTTGTTTATATTAATGCCTGGAGAAGTATGATCTTCGAGAATTTCTTGCAGACTTGCGTTCTGAAAGCTCTCTTCCCTTGATGAGGTCTGGCAGCAGTGCCACCTGTTGTTGATGTTTTGATTATTGCATGCACTCCTGGACGCACTGCACAGTCCGTGTTATTATTGATTATTCATGGTTATTAAAGCAGTTTATTGTGCTATTTGTTTCATCGTTTTATTGTGTCATCCAATGTCCATGAACAAAACAACTAATTGAAACAGTCGATTGTATTATCTGAAACGCTTTATTGAATGATCATTTATTTCACATTCAGTGTTTGATGCAAGACGATTTCATTAAGCAACTAATTTCCTCACATAATGTCCGTCGTCATGCGGTGAGCGCATCCGAATTCTCAGGATCTTCATTTTGTATAAAACTAATGCCCCATCACTTCCATAATGAGCAACCCACGAAAGACATTCCGTACGAAATACAAGATCTTTTGAATTGGCCATTTTGTACGTATTTTCATCTGTAGTATATGAAAAGCACTCCGTAAGCGCCCTCAATTTACCCTTGCTCTGAATGTTTTCAAAAATTCTACTAAAATTTAGTAAAACGACATCCCTTTCAGAGGTGTTGAGATACGTCCAGATGTCCAGGTATTGAGAAATGCTGGACAGTAATTGTTTTTGAGAATCAAGTCGTTAGAATTCTTCAAATTATCTCTTTTAGAGATATATTGCTCACCCAAGGCCGAAGCAGGAACGTTTCATTGATGGTCAAAGCAAGCTAAATACAAAGACTGCATGCCAATATGCATGCCTAAGCACTCTATTCGGACGAAATTTAGTTGAAGGAGGGAAGAAATTAGATTTCCGCTAGGACACTACTTCGACTCTGCAGCAACTCGTCACTTAAATTGAAATGCAAAAACTTGTTTCCATGCTTGACCTCAGCAGCAGCATATCTTTGGAATTTTTCCCAGTTTGAAAAAGCTGCAAGCTATTGCAAGCCGATACCGTGATATCAATGCGGTATTTATCCCAGTGGCTGATATTTCGGCGGATTTCGATTTCTTAATAATCCGTGCGGCTTATACTAATATCCAGCCTATTAAATTAACCGTTTCGACAACCTAACAGTAAAGAGGCAATCCCTAGACTCGGTAGACGAAAAGACTGGAAGATGGCGAGCTCAGTGAACTATTAGAAATTATCGGTATTCGTGAACCTTTCAACGTTAGCGGCGGAGAAAGAGTATCGTTTGTCTATCTAAGACAGTTTTTTGTCTTAGTAACAGGACTTTTTTTACGAGTCGGAAATATTCTACTGGCACTTCACGTAGCAATTCCCATGACCAACTTTCTTTTAACCTCGGCATTGATTGATAATTCGATGTTTTTCTTCTGTTATCGCCCATGTATTACTCTGTGCGGCTGCTATCCATCAACTAACTTAAATACTTACAACAAATAAACGGCTCTGAAGAAGGCGAAACCATCGAAACGTCAGATATTGTCTTCTAATAAATTCTATAATAACAACCTCGTGTCTGCTTATTGAAGAGAAACATCGAATTTCAACGTTATTTGGCACGATCGATACGAGTCTATTCCACGCTCACCTATCTGTAAAGGAATCGCTTAATTTTCAGTTCACTGAACTCAGAAAAGGTTGTCACAATCGTGGACAACAAACAAATTATATTGATAATCTTCGTGATGAATACAAGACCTTTATTATCATAATCATAATATTCTAGTGCGTGACCACTTCAACGAAGTTCTTCTGTGTCTTATTTAAGATAGTCAGAATGAGAAACACCAATTGATGATTGGAGACTGGTATTTTCATCGTCCTCTTGCTTCTGACGATGCGTAGCATTAAATATACTGAGGTCCAGTTAGAGAATGCATCGCTTGTATTACCTGCAATCCTACCAACCACTGAGTGCTCAGAGTCGACATTGGTGTGGCCACTGTAGCACGTTGGAGTAAACCACTAGTTCTTCTAGCTTTCAACCCACGAACAGCATCAAATTCGTCAAATAACGGCCAGTGTTTTCATTGCCTTTTGCGAAAAGGTTGACACGAGGAAATTTATAAGTTATAACATAAGACCGCAAGCTATATGCTTTGTTTCCGAATCCACTGAATAGCAACCACCCATATAAGAGAGAAAAAATACGTACATGTCGCTCTCTCAGTGATGACTGGGCAAATTCAACAGTTGTGGGCCAAAAAGCAAACCCTGGAGCCTGTAAAGCTGGCTTTCAACTAAACTTCAAAGCCATTAGAAAGTGATGCATTATATAAAATATGCTTCATATTCAGCACGGTGTTCCTGCCTTGCGATGGAATGAGCAACTAGCTGCTCAAGCTCAGTCATGGGCTGAAAAAGTAGCTAGACAAGCACATATCTCCTATAAGGAATTGAGTGGAGTAGGAGAAAATATCACATTCTTTCCACGTGACTTGGATCCAGAAGCAAGTGAGTGTCCCATCTCTCCACGTTTACTTGGCGTCTTACTTTTCTCCGTTATTGAACGAGGCTAAAAAGTCCCGCTTTGCGCTTTCTAATAAAAACAGATAGGAGAGAGGTGCACAATAGAATATGTCGTGCAAAATATTTTTCATTTATCATTTAATTATATTATCTATAGGCCTTTAAATAAGTAGACGTTTTCTACTGCATAACATATTTATAGACAAAAAGCCCGTTGCTGATACAGTGTCATTCTTGTTTTTGTGTATTTCCTCCAAGGCTAAATTATGCCAACACCAATTTTTAATAGGCTGAAGAGTTTTAGTCAGAATTTTTTTGTGTTAAAGAACTTAGGGTGTCTTTTTCTAAAACACTGGAAATGTAGGTAATACGCGAGTGACATAACTGAAAAGTACAAAGCAGTAGTTCAGTTGTCGAGCACTGGTACGAGGAACATGAAAAATATGAGTATGAAACTCCTGGATGGCAATCTGGGACGAATTATTTTACGCAAATTATCTGGAGAGGGACAGAAGAGGTAAATATGATTACTGTGCAATGTTCTTCAATTGTTGGCTATAAAATAGATAAGCATTCAGATCGGAATAGGAAGAGCTTTTGTGGAGCCCGATGTTGTGGAAAACCTAAATAGGAAAACCTCTTTAAGGTTCGTTCCAATTTCATTTTAAAAATGTAGCAGTCTCGATTTATAGGTTTAACCACTTTCGTGAAGTGATTCTTACTATTACTGATCAAGACCGCCAAACGTTTTGAATAAGTGTTAGCGCGGCTGCAACGATGCTGAGATATTTGCAAAACTCCGGATCGCAGTTGTCTACGTTGGGAAACGAACGCGTTGTTACTCTTTTCAGGAACTAACGCGTTCACGACCACACCATGTGGATCCTACGTTTCTCCCGTCTCATCAAAAATAGAAACATAAGTAATTCTTCGTATTTTTGTTCAGCAAACACGAGGTGTTATTATTCTTTATTCTTTATATTCGTAAAGGACATTATGCTTCTATGTGATTTCTGTGCGGTTGGTCTTCATGCGACATACTTAGTGGAAACCTCATAGAAAGCGGCTCTGAGGAAGGCGAAATCCGCCGAAACGTCAGCTTATTCGTGAATAAAGAATAATAACACCTCGCGTTTGCTCAACAAAAATACGAAGAATTACTTGATCAATCCCGAGGTTAATAGAAAGTCGGTCGTGGGAGAAACATAAGTGTTAACACAGCTTCCCTTTATGGTTCTCGCATGTTAGAGCTTGTACTTTTACTCTTCGCTTGAGGAATGCCGAAATCATTATATTTCTCCCACCTCATCTTCGTTAAAAAGTTCGGAAATCGTCCTGCGCGCTTTATCTTTTGTAGAACTCAGTAGATTACGGTCCAGGCCTTCGGGTATCTTTGAAGTGCCCCATACGTCTCATTTTCTACGTATTGGCTTATGCGTAGTATGAGTGAACTTAAATTATCGTTGACGGAACTCTGAATTTCATACTTTGCAATGGAATACTGTTACACCAACTTCCTATTACACGAGCATTAAACTCGTCCTCCTTAGGAAACATATGCTGCCCAGAAACAGTGATAAAAGTAAAATCACATCGTCGGTGTTCCACTTCGTTTACATTATATTCTCAATGCTTTTAAAACTCTCCAGGCAGCTCGCCTCTCCGTAGATGGTTATCTACGTTTACTTGTACACCCAGATACACGTGGCTATAGCAGTCGAAGATATTTGTTCTCTTGAAATCGCCATCAGGAACAGGCCCACTTCCCAAGAACGTCGTTATTTTATAAGGTTCACCAGAGGACCATTTTCTCCAAAAGCACCATTGAAATCATGCAGTAGTTCATTTCAGCTTGCCTATATTAGGTGTCCCAAGAAAGATTTGATAATCAATGTAAAGAGAATACTGATTGCAACCAACGTCTTTCATCCGTTTTCGTTTAATTCCTATCTTTTAATTACGTTCTCAAGAATGCTGCTGAGTGTCATTGTGGAAGGTGAAATTGTAATTGTGAAATTGGTGTGCAATTCGAGACACAGCGACATCTTCTACTGTGATAACTCCAAGATTTGTAACCATGCCTATATGTTCCGTCATACCATTATCAAAGTCATTCGTTCTTAATGATTCTCCTTCGTATAATTCTTTGTCTGGTTTTTTGAGATTGACGCAGTCAGAAGTTCATTGACGAGATACAAGAGGCGGTAGTTGATGTCATTTACTTCTCTCCTCTGCACAATAACATGATAGCATTAGTTTTCCAGTAACTAGATGCTTTCGTAGGCAGCGTATAAAATGAGGTACCTAGATAGCGGCGATTTATTCAGATATCCGCGTCTCCTGCAACTGGTTGTATTGGTTTACTCCCAGCTAGGCTTCAAAAAACCAGACAAAGAATTATACGAAGGAGAATCATTAAGAACGAATGACTTTGATAATGGTATGAACGTGGTTGTCAAAGATGTAGCTCGGAAGTTAGCAATTGAGAACAGTTCGTATAACAACATACTGGTTTATCAGTCGTAGAGTTTCTGGAGAGAATCGTGTTTTCGTACCTTCCAAACTATCAGCAATCTAAGTACCTTCGTGAAAGTGTTAAATCGATCAAATTTGTAATCGACTTTTCTGACGATAAGTTCCTAAAACCTTGATAAAATAGGTAAAGAAAACTACAATTTTTAGTGTTTTTGAGAGTTTACTTTTCGAAGTTTCTACTTTTTTCCATAGACGTCCATGAGGAGTGTTTAGACCATCACTCGACGTCCCACTCTCAACGGTTTACGGCCTCATCCTGCCTGGGAAGTGTTCCTGGGGTGTCGGCCTACGATGTACAGCGTGGGACTCATCCCCTGGCAGGGTCTCCTAAGCTGAGAAGGAGTCCGGCGTTTCCATCAGGAAGCCTAGCTGGGAGTAAACCAATACCAGGATCTACCACCGTTCTGGTGTCAAGGTCGCATGGTGGCAAATCTCCATTTGATCCACAAGGGCTGCGACTGCCTGTGGCGATGAAGTCCTGAGGCAGACTTTTCCCAGGCTGACCTCGGAATTCCAGAGAACCATAATGGCTTAACCTGCACATCTCCGAAAAATGGAGATTATGCTGGGGCCCGCACAACCAGTGAGGACGGGCCGTTCAAGTATCATTCGAAGTCTGCCTTAGTAACTAACGATGGCCACTTCCACGTGACCTGAGTGTGGTAGAACGCAATGTGAAGTATTGCCATTATAGAATCTCCACATATAAAACTTCTGGATCATATACTCAGCGTGGCTGGTTCTGGTCCAACCAAGACCGTTACGGCAAGTATTGGTTTCATTTCTTTCTAACGTAAACGATCCAGTTTGATTCCTTAGGTTATATGAAGGAGTAGATTTTCATAGCAAATAACAAACCTATGTTGATGAAGGGGAAAGCAGCCTGTACGAGGCGTAGTTCCTCACCAATATCATTAAGGACATGTAGCCATCGCTGTCTTCTCCTTGTTTTGGTATAACCGATCATATTCTACTTGGTCTATATAGCTCATGATTTTAAAAACCTCTTATTACTCGGCCTTTTTCAATAAGACTGTATCGGTAACTTTCACAGGTTCAAACCAATGACGTCGGCGACTATATTTACTTTTTTTTCGCTGTAGATACTATCCGCTTGGTCTTGAAAGACGATGAACATCTACTCTCCATTTGAATGAATGCAAACCTTGGTTCTGAGTTCTTGTGTTGGGTTTCTGAAGCATGAATTTGCCTGATTAGGTGACATATTGTAGCAAGAAGTTCTGGACTCTAACGAATATGAAATCTCCCGAAGCGTCAATTATTGTTTAACAAAAGCTGGTTTGATAACCACATCAATTACACAGTAGTTTATTAAACAATGCCGGTGCTAGAAAGTTGGCAATGAGAATAGTTACTTAGTTTATGGAATTCTCTACTTTCTATCACTTCCAAGCTTTTAAGCTAGTTGGGGGTCTGGTTTATTCTGAACTTTACCATCAAATAAATGAAATCCTAATCTTTTAACTTCTGGTAATACCTAACATTTGTCTCGTAAAGGATAAGTATAGTCACACAATCAATGTTTGTTCAATTTTCTCTAGCAACTTTGAAACTTCACAACACATTCATGTTCATGTAGTATATGAACAGTTAAATGACTGCACTTTATAAAATTCACTTCAGAAGCGGCAAACTGGCGTGTCCAGGTGACCAAGTCATCGTGGCATTCTATAGCCCGGCTGGTAACAACAATCGCGCAGGACAGTTCGCTGGCAATGTTTTAAAACCATTGCGACGACACGAAACAATCACCGAACAATAGCTTAAATTAATCTCACTTGAATAAATGTTATACAGAACTGCGTGATTCTTGAAGATGAAAATTTATAACGAATTGCAATAGTGGTAATGCTTGAAGCCCAAAGATTACCAAGAAATTTCAGTTCCAATTCACCTAGCTACCAGTTTTTACCCTTAAACTGGATGTATTATATCTATAATTTTTAATCTGATTTGCAAATGAGTAGGCCAATCTATCACTTGAAATTCCGTTTCCTCCATCACGTATTGCACCAATGCTTCTCGGAATACTGGTCACGCACGAGGGACACGAAGAACATCACAAATCTAGTATAATGTTGCTTTATCAACTCTTATTCTCATCATTTCTCACCGATTTTTGAACGTCGTGATCAAAATCAATCATTTTATGATTAAGCTTTCCAAAAAATCCATTACGAGGTAGTCTTTTACATTCAACTTGTAGTCACTACTATCTGCAACCTTGATAGTTCACTTCTGGTGGCCAATATGAAACAATTTATACAAAGCTGAAGTGTGAGCAAAATTTGGAACTTCAGATGGGCATAAAACCCACGATTACCCTTTCTGGGAGCTCAGGTGCTATCCATCACACCAACTGATGCTCTTGCTTACCTGCTATAGAAAAAATGGCAAGTAAACAAGAGCTAAACATTGTAATTTCATCTAACGCTTCAGCTTAACTGATTTCAATGTCAATTTTTCCTTCTCAGATAGTTCCCGTTAACAGATGATATCTGATAGCATCCCTACACTAAAAAAAACCTAGCCAGGAGAAAGGCAAACCGAGGGCGTCGGTTGATATGGTGGATAACACGCCAGCCTTCAGAAAGGATAATTCATGGGTTCGACAGGGGTCTGAGTTTTGCAAATATCTCATCATTCTTGTTGTTGTATTCCACATAATACCCTGCCCTAAAAAATTAGGCGGTAAATAAAAGTTCACAATTTTGAGCCGAAGACCTTTCATAAGTCGATGAAAATTGGACAAAGCAGCCCCTCGCAGCCTCGTGATGTTTCATTGAGTCTTGTTGTTGCGTGACTGTGGTTCATCGTACTGAATCCTTTTCGAAACCTTTCTTGTTCATAGGAGTTTCCTTATTCCAGTGTTTTCTCAGTTGTGCTGAGGATAATTCGAGCGAAGACTTTATAGGCAGCAAACAGATTGGACGATAGTTGACAGTATCGTGGACGCTGCTGTCCTTGAACAATTATACGAGCCTGCTGGTATTCCACTGAATAGGAAGCTTTGTACTCTGATGGCAAAGTCTGAAAATCAGAGTAACTATATAGATGAAAACTAGCGGAAGGCTCTTCAGGTGACTAGACTTTATCCGGAATAGGTGTTATTCGATTTTCCACTGGCGAATTAGCATGGCTGATAAGAGGATCGGTGGGACGACACGTCTATCCTCTTTTGTCTCATATGACGACTGCCTTTCTAGAAGATGTAACTACTCGGAATAGGAGTCGGAAAGCGGTTCATCTCGGTTTTGTAATTGCCAAAATTTTGGGAAGCGTTTCGAATGGCTCTTCTCAGCCTCTACGGATTTGGCCCATGCTGCTGTTGTTCTCTTCTTAAGAGCTTTTTTATCGTCTTTCTGCAGTGTACTCCTCAGCTCGTACGTGAGCCAGCTCTTGAATGCTTCCGGAGACAGACGTTTGTTAGTGACTTTCGAAGTCCCAGCTTTCCCAATGATAATGCTAAGTTGTTGAATGAACTTGGTGTATTCCTTGTAGGTCTGAACAATAACGGCATCATCCTAAAAACGGACTAATGGTTTCAATAACAGACGATTTATGGCGGTTTCTAAATTTTGCTTTTTGTATGTAGCGGCTTTCTCTCCATTCCACGTGAAACTCAATTTTGTGCTAAGAGACGATGATCCCACCAGATGTAAAATCTTAATACAACATCGACGTGTAGTACGCTGCGACATCGCCTTCGTCAAAGTTTATTGTCGGTACGTAGACGATAGTTGTCAAAGCCGGTGTTAATCGACGTCTCATCAACCGTAAACGTCCAATTCGATCTCTTAGTTGCTCAAATGCATTTTTTCATGGACAAACTCTTGTTGACGGGAACACTGACGCCGTGGACTCCCATATTAACGCATGTTCCGTGGAACAGTTCTTTTTCAGTGTCATGGACGGCGTTGAATTGATGGAGTCGTCTCGCTTGACCAGTAAGATAACGTCTTATCTCGTCCTTCTTACCTGCATGACCAAGTCTTCCATCGAGGACTCAAATGCAAATGATCGTGCATTGTAGGTGCAAATTGTCGCCTTAGCGTTTCCAGATTTAGAGAACCTAGAATAGTCTTCAGATTTCAGCAGAATTCCTATATTTATCCTACTCAACGCTTCCGTATTGGAGGTTCTTTCGGAGTTAAGAGAATGAGACCCATTTATTTTACTGTACTTAGTCTTTGATATCCACCTATAGCTTGTTGATCCTTAAACGTGAGTAGTGGATATACTCACGAATCACTTGGCAGACTCTCTCAGAGTATACGTGAAGGTTATTTGTCAGATACGATTCTTAACCACCTGTAACGCTTTTCTCAATCATCTGATTGCAGGATTTAGACCAAAATAACTTGTAGAATACATTCCTGATAAGCGAAAACCACGCCCGTATGTATGAATACGCAGAAAACTTATGCGACAAACCAGCGCAGCAGAAACAGGAACTCCATACTCAGGATTGATGGCGTCTCAGGGAAATATAACGTCGCTTTTGCTCCACAATTAACCTCCTATCTGCCACCTGGGAACGCACCACCTAGCCTCTCAACTAGCATCCCTCGGATCCCAAGTGAATGAGATCAGCGGATTTAAGCTAGTAGTGAAATTTATTAATTTCAATAGAAGCTATCATAACTCACATAACTTTAGCTACGGAGTAAAAGTTGTCTTGTTTTACCGCGGTGATATTCTGATTCGCGCGAGCTCACTACACATATTTCTTACTCTGTATTGTTATAAAGCTTACGTTTTAAACTATAAAGAAGAGGAACAAGCAGATTTCGGCCATATAACTGGCCCAATGGCAATCGCCAATGAATCGTTTACATTTTCAGCTGCTAATCTTCACTTGAAAATTTTAAAAACTTAAGTCTCACTGGACAATTTAATTCTAAGTGTATTTAAATTTGCAAGGACAAGGTATAAAAACTACCCATTCAATAAATGAAAAAAGCAAACCTTCTTATATAAATCTGTACAGATCCAAACTCCTGAACTACAATACTTTATCTATTGAGAAACTATCGCCAGTAACCGAAAAACCAGTACCGGTGCGAAAGGGTTGAGCAGTAATACATAACTTGGGAATGTTGATAATAAAGATATAAATAAAATGACTAGCCATGGCATATATTACAAATGTTAGAATCAGGTCGGTCAGAATCTTGAAGAAGATAGCATCTTACACCACAAAATAGTTCTTCTAAATTCGGTTCTTAGAGTTAAGCTGAATAATACTAATCATCTCCTCGCCTGGTTCACTTAATGTCCTGCTCAGCACTCATCCAGCTTCATCCAAGTGATTCATCTACTCTCTTTCCATTAAGCCGACTTGTGCTTGGATATAATTCTGACTATTAGACTATTCTCCTATTCTATTATTAGACTATTCTTATAGTCTGACTTTTATTATAAAACTTTGCTTGAATATGAGATTTACATCGGAGTTGTAACGTTCGCCAAAACGGTCTCGACACCACGTCCATCTCAAACTTCCCATCGATCACAAGTTTTTTTTTTCCTGATAGACGCGACAATATACCCTCATCGCATTTCCTTCAAGTGGCCAACTTTCTCGCAGCTTCTCATTCTGCTTGGGCTGCTTCACAAGTTTCTGCGTCAAAACTATGTTTATTGTTTTCAATAACTGAATAAATCGATAAAATATTCAATCAATTTTCTTTTGAAACAAACAACAAAATTTGCAAACGTAACCATATTCACAACTATATATCATGTACACATACGTTGCGATTTTTCCTCTCGTCGCCAGAAGCTATCAGCCAGCTCGTGTGCCGGTGTAAAGATTACAGGGAATTGCTGGCTCTGATTTAGTTCTTATATAGTTACTTGGATACTCAGACAGCCTGTCCTCACTGGTTGTGCGAGCCTCAACATGTTCTCCATTTCTCACAGTTCTACTGGTCTAGCGATTGTGTTACCCTGGAGCCACGAGGTCAGCCTGGCCAGTCAGCCGCAGATCATCACCACCACAAGCAGTCGCCGCTCTTGTGGATCAGAAGGAGATTTGCCACCATGCGACTAGTTCGATACCAATACGGTGACGGTTCCTGGCATTGATTTATTCTTAGCTGACCTTCCTGGTGGAAATGCCGGACTCTTTCTCAGAATGCGAGGCTCTACCGTGGGACGAATCCATTCCATCCACCCTGCGTATCGCAGCCCAACAGCCAGGAACATCTCCTAGCCATAATGAGGAGGTGAACCGTTAGGAGTTCTTTTAGTTCATATATGGATAGTCCCAAATAGAAATGCTGCACTTTTCTTATTGGGGAAATGACCTTACCGCTATTCATCACAGTTCGACAATCAAGAACACCATCACCCATAAATAGGTAGTAAACCATTGGATCAACACATTTCTACTCCTATTCTTGTTTCATTTCCACCGTGTTTATTGCTTCTGCTATTTTTTGTTTTATAAATTCAACCATATGTCTACTACTTCACACAATTTTCGTCCTTAGTTTTATCATTATCATTTCCGATAATGCTATTGCTTTTGCCATTGCAACCCAAATGCAAAAAGTTACAACGACTTCGTGGATGATGGTTATGAGGAAATGAATCGAATACAAGAGCTGCCATTCGAGTAGATGTAAGTGCGAGTCATGTAAAATAGAATAAAATAAATAAACTTAATATTTTCGAACCGAATTGCTAAGCCATCAGCACTAAAGAAGAGAACAATCTTTCCTAAGCGAATGATGTTCGACAGGAACCAATCGGGTGATTCGTAAAGAGTCCCGTGAAAACAGTTCAAATACTCCTTTACGATTGGTCATAATTGAATTAACAGTATGATGCAGTTATTGCCAGTTTTTGCAGTTATATACTGGTATACGAACTCAAAAGACTACATAAACAGTAGACCTCAGTTCAGGCAACTTCACGGAAAAATTTAAAGTACCCTTTTCTAAGTTTACAAAACTTTTTACTGACCCAAACACTATAATGTTAATCTGCAATAAAACGTACAAAATCTAATAGCAATAATCAACAAGCAATAAATTACAAATATTGGCTTACAACAAATATGAACGTTAACGAAATTCAGACCTCGTGATGTGTAACACGCATCCGTTGTAGTAGAAGGCTGAAGGCTAATGTAGGTCTTAGAAGTTTTACTCAACAACTACACAAATGTATAAGCTACGATTTCATTTTGCGCTCTCTTGACAGGGTTTTGTCCACAATGTCGTTGTCCATTGGCATAAGTACGTCAAATTTATGCAGGCATTTCGAACTGACGAGTCGATTGCAGGACTGAAATTTGGTAAAACTTTGTGGTCTTTAGACAACTAAATTGTTTTCTTTGCTCAACTGGCCGAATTTCAATGAACAATTACGACCATAAATGTTTAGATCTTTACTTAGTCCTAAGATTTCCGAAAATGATGTACTAAAATTATTTCACCTCGCGACAGAATGTCTTTTGCAAGAATAATGAACAAAAATCCTAGAAGAAATACATTCGCCCTTCCTCTAGCACACTGCACTAAGTCATGTTTTGAGATGAAGACGGTGTCCAGAATACTGCTTGTAATAAAAACTTAAAAGAATGCCCTTGTCTAACATAAACGCCGAGAATGCATTGTGCACAATGTCTGGTGAGAAAACAACGGCCGCTGCCAACTTTGGACCAGCTTGTATTACCTGGTACTTAACTTTATTTATTGGAATAAAAACCAACAGAATACTCAAACTTTTGTCTATAAGAGGTAATATCTCTTACTTTACTCTGATCAAAATACGATCAATTAGATTTTTCTCATTCGCTGTTTACGCTAGGGTTCGCATTTTGAAAGACATAGCAAAGGATTTTTTTTTCTCGAAAGATTTAAACAAATGAGATTTCGTTCAAAAGGAACTAAAACGATATGGTAAATTCCCTTGTACAAAACTATCAACAGCAATATTGTTAGCCACCGAAAAACAAGCTTTGGGCGATATCCGTTAAAATAATGAAATGATGGGAAATAAAGTTCGAATGTTGAGGAGAACTGGAGACCAAGCCAACGTGAAACACACCTCTAGTCACATAGAGATAAAAGAAGTCCGCATATAGAACAGTCTGCACGATTCCAGCGACCACGGCTATAGGATCGAAGAAGTTCTCCGTATAGTACCTACAAACGTTAAGACGATGACGGTACTGCATAATATAGTAATTTCAGAACCTAGTTTAAAAAATGAACGCCGAAACTAAATTCACTGTAAAGTTCTCTTTTTTTTACAAAAAGAACAAAGCCAAGGTGCTTTCTATCCGAAGAAATAGGTAACTCATGTAAGACGAAGAAACTTTGTTAACATTTACCTATAGATCCAGTTTACAACGTATAGGCCGCGATATGAACCAAGAGCGAATAAATAATGGGCAGTGATTGTTTCAGCATTTCCGGTACGAGAAAGCATGAAAAGTTGCGGCATAATGGCAACCGCTTCAAGGTAGATAGAAAACGTCCACATCACCTACAGAATTTAACCAATAACATAACTATTACCTTGCTAGGTAAGTTAATGAGAATGAATACAAACCTCCATAAAGGTGAATTCGTGATTGATAAGAAGTGCTAGAATAGCAGCAGGAATTACTAAAAATTCTATACGAAAGCAGTCGTTGTTCCTAAATGAATAAACATAAACAACATTACAGAAATTCTCATAGGAGAAAGTGGATAATTGGTAGAACTGCACTCTTCTGGATCCCTCTGGAACACAATTACAAAGTGGGTGCCGAAACTCTCTCGAGCCGAGTCCCAGGGCCGAAAGGCACCCAGAGCATCCGACCCCACTGCCACGGCCATGCTGAAACCAAAATGCCCCGAAAGTCTTCCAGTGACACCCACCGGACAACTCCTCCAGATCGCAATTGTAAAATGGATATGATGGTGGTTGACAACGTTAGGTAGGAAGTAAGATAATCCTCATCATTATAATGGGAAAGTCATTATGGAAACATAAACAGTTGCTTCAAGACAAATGGATAAGTTAAAGAGCACTCCCTTTAAGAAATTCACCGCATGTTGATATTTCTCTACACTTCACCAAAACAATGGGAGTTAATCGAAATTACTCCACTAAGACAAACGGATTTCGTACAAATTTTTATCAAAACATTAAAATATTTACATAAAGCTAACCTATCATAAGTTGCCTTGAATTTGATCCACATCAAGTAGACGGTGCCAAAAGATGTGACGAGAAAGAACACCTGAAAAGAAAAAGAACAGCAATTAACAATTGATAAGTAGGATGCATAGACAAAAACTTTTCCCGTAAGTACAAAAAAAAAGGATAAGGGACAGAGCTCTCGCCGTTGATCAATAGTCCCTTAAGGATGCACCATGGATTTAACTTCACTAAGCATCGTTTAGAGGGGAATGAATGCATATCTGGCTTTTACGATGACTCGCGGTGGCCTACCGATGTATTGAGCCAGTGCTGCTATCCTCCCACAATAGTCGCGCACCACTTTGCCGACCCCAGGGGGATGGGAGACTTGGTGAGTCAGGGGCGCAGGAATCGCTACCATGTGTGTATCGAAAGGCGCCTCCGACCAGCGCGCCACACGAGCCCCCTTTATAACTATACGCCTTGGAATACCCTCAATGCAGTGCGCTATAAGGAACAATAGCATTAACCAGGAATGCTGCAGAAGTTAATAGAAACTTCACAGAATTGGTCTGCTGCGAAAAATTTTTAACAAAACTGAAAATTTTGCAACAAGTGTAGATCTAAAGTGAGTGCGTTCTAAAGCCATTTCAAAAACACCGGTTAATGAGATATTTATTCACACTATTATTAGTAAATTTTACTTACCAACGATTCATCAAACTATGAAACATATAAAGTAAAACTGACAACTTAAATTACCTTCAAAACTGAGTTGTACACCGAAACGAAATTGGTAAACAAATCCAGATAACGAGATACAAAAACGAGAGTAAACAGAACTTGAGATCGGCCAGATAAACCTTAAAACAACACAGCTGTTTAAATCACTTATTTTCCCAACTCTAAATACGATCGTCTCGCATAGGTTTACTGACTCATCGTGGCTAAGAGAATTTCTTGGGTGTCTGGCTGCAGTTTCCCCCAGCAGGGTCTCCCAAGTTGAGAAGGAGTCAGGCGTCTTCATCAGCAAGCCCAACTAAAAGTTAACCAATACCAGGATCCACCACCGTTCTGGTATCAAACTAGTCGCATAGTGGCAAATCTCCCTCTGATCCACAAGGGTCGCCACTTTCTATGGTGATGACCACCTGGGGAAGACGTTGGCCAGGGTGACCTCGGGACTACAGGTAAACACAGTGGCTAAGCCAGCAAAACTCCGAAAAAGTGGTAATTATGCTAAGCCCGCATAACCAGTGAGGACGGGCCGTCCAAGTACCCAAGTAAGTAAATGCGATCGATCTATACCTACGAGTTAAAGAAAAGTACCTACACCGAATATGAAGTGTACTCACCTTCACAACTTCTTGATTTCCATATCTTATGCAGTAGGATAACGATAGCAACGAGATGCGACAAGTCGGCGCATAGGCGAAAGATGTTCATTCTCGCCACCCAAGTGCTCTAGGAATCTTGGATATGAAGGAATCGAAAGCAGAACTTCATACACAAAAGAATACCTTGTAGAACAGTGAAACGTAAAACGCTTAAAAGAATACACAAAGGAAAAAGAACTTCCTACGACTGAAAGGTATCTCGAAACTTCTCTCAAAGTAAAAGGAATCATTGCCAACGAAATAATCCTCAAGCCGACACAACATGAGTTTAGGATTGGAAGTACTAAATATCCCTACCAAAGAGAGAAAGAAGAACTACTAACACTGTTCTTACAGGTTTCACTTTTCTAAACAGCCAAATCCGAGTGTAAACGGCAGAACCACAAACATTAACAAATCAGAAAACGTTAAGCAGATATCGTAGCGTCGACACAGATTAAATGAACCACCTACTTTTCACTGAATCACAATAATTCACTTTTTTACAAAACCTGAACGCCAATGAAATCTGCCAGGCCACGTCACTGAGACGCACGAAACTGCTGCGACGCAGCCGTGCCGCTGCAGACAAAAATTTTTCTTTTGTATTTGAGCAACTTACCATGGAGGAGATACCTTACAGACACTAAATTCAAACTAGAATTACAGTCACTTTTGGTGAAAATAATGTTATCTTTAGCGTCTTGGTAACATTATTTTGTTTATCTTAAATGTGTTAGCAGTCCCATGATTGGCTTTTTGTTAACCTCGGCATTGGATTACGAATACGTCGTTTTGTTTTTCAGCATCCCGAGATTGTTATTGAATTACCAGTAAGACGACTTGGTGTTATTTATTACGCTGGGTTCAATGAGTTAAGTTTTTAAATAGTCGTTCTCTCCGGCCCATCTTCTTAATGGTCTTCCTCCAGATTTTTTTGATTCTCTCGAGACCCATTTTGTTGCGTTTTCCTACCTCTATCGTTTTTACTTCTCCATTACGTGACCAGTCTATCGATTCTTATTTATTAATACGTTATCTTGAAGACGGATATTTCCCCTAGATCTGCACTAATAAAATCGGCTTGGTATTCAGTACTCCATTTCATCATTAGAAAAGATCGCTCGAGCGTCCTGTGCGTAATATCTTTGACATGGGAGAAGTATTAGCCCACATTTCCGCTACATATCCCAGATCTGGTGGAACTGTTGCTTCGAATAAGAAAAACACGTAAATCAGGGCCGGTATGCCGATTAGTGGCCTCTGTCAGATGTCCACGCACAGCGTTGTCTTCTACTAAATTTTTCTCTGAAAGTCATTATCTTTACTCTCTGAACATCCCAAGTGTACGTAGTGTCATCTCACGGTGTTCCATTCAGGCTGATCTTTCGCCTTCTACATTAAGGATTGTTCTCGAATTACATTCGTTTCTTATGTTCTTACCAGGGTCCATTTTTCTTTCTCGCTTCTATGAGCTTACTAAACATTGTTTCTGACCTCACGATAGTACTCGAAAGGAGGACAATGACGTCGGCAAGACGTCAGCTGTAGAGAAATCGTCCATCATTACTATCCTTTTGTTGTCTCATTCGTATGCTTCCAGAACCATTGTAAGGAGGCCAGCATTGAACAACTTTCCTGATATTGTGTTACCCTGTGCATTTGTTTACATGCGTTAATTCTAATAATAGAAGAACTAGCTGAGAGACAGATGAAACGAAGGACCCGAATGGTGTGGTGGTGAACGCGCGTTAGCACCCAGAAAGGGTAATAGCGCGTTCGTTCCCCACAGCAAACACCTGCGGTCTGGAGTATTGCAAATATCTCAGCATCGTTATAGTTACATTTCACATAATACCGAGCGGTTAAAAAATATAGTGGGCAGTAAATAAAAATTGACGACAATGTAAGTATAGTAAAATTTATTGCAGTTCTACCTAATGAACTCCGTTCTAAAATACTAAATTTGTTACTTGCTGAAATGCTCCAAAAACGAATATATTTGCTGGTATTTTTGTTACAAACGCAAATTACATTCGTTGTTCGGAAATCGAACTTCATTCCGATGCGGCATGTGTGTGTTCTCCTCTACTGGAGCGTTTTTCTGTTTTAATCTTCTATTGTTGGATCATGGTGTGTTGTGTTTGTTTCATTAGAAACAGATAAGAGTTACTGATAAGTGTCACATTGCTTTCCATACTGAGTCAAAATGCGCCGCGATAGCTCTGAAGAGAACTTCCTCTATTAATAAGGCCTTTCATTGTTTTATATTTTACACCGTTCTACTTTTGATCACTGTTGGTTGCCCATTTTGTCTCTCTACATTTGTAGTTTTATTTAAGGCATTCTTTTTCGGCTTTATTTTATCACCGTTTCTTCATTAGTCCTCAGTCGAGAAGGTCCTATAAACTAAGATGATTGTTCAAGCTAAGGAAGCAAGTTTAGATGCGAGTTAGCACCACTTTGTTGGTAGTATTCGTTGTTATTTTGGTTATCGGAGTCGAATCGGCTCGTGATAGAAAACGAAATAGAAACCGTCATCGTGATAACGAAAGCGCTGCCGACACAGGAGCTGATGAAGGTCGAATGTGCATTTTGAGAAAGTTTTTTATTCACTGCAGCTGTAAATTTAATAATAGTAACAAAATACGATAGCTATAGTGTTTAGGCTCGAGAACAAGCGGATTTAGTGATGCTGAAGAGCGGCACAAGGAAACCAGACAAAGAGGTAGGTCGATTACGTTTGTCTAATCTTACGAGTATGGAACCACCCCTCACGAAAAAAAAGGAAAAAAAATCCAAACTCTAAAGTTTTCAGTCTTTAGAAGCTCCTCCTTCATCAATGCAATTCCTTTAATTGTGTTCAACAGGTACTGCTGTTAAAAGAAAACGTAAAAGATAGTAGTTACAAACTGCAATAGTGTGGAAAGATGAATTATCCTAGCGAATTTTGAATAGTACTGCTACGCATAATTTGCTCCACTCATTGTTTAGGGGAATTCGCGAGAACTTTGTAGAATCGAAGTGTTTGTGAAGTAAAGTGATTTTTTAATATATATCCAGGTGTGCACGAAAAAACTCCCAGGAGTACTCCATAAATGTTTTTCTTGAGAACACTACAGGGTTCGAAAGAATTATGTGGCTAATTTTTATAGTTGTCACGTCTAAATGAATGACGTTCTTGAATGATGTCAAGTGGCAGTATTTCTAGAGCGTGGAATGGAGAAGAAAGAACGAGAAAAAGAGGAGAGCAGCGAAGAAAAAGACGACAGTAAAGAAAAGAAGAAGAACGAAACATCACTGGAAATCAAAATCCTAAGAGTGATTACTTAAGAATTGGTTATTTTTGAAGAGAAAAGGAGAAATGATTGTTGTAGAAAAGATCGCGCAGAACTTTGGAACTTACTAAAGCGAAAGAACTTAATGAAGGGCAATACCAACCCATTGAAGTCAAACCAGCTCACAAGAATCAAGTGAGTTGTAAAATTATTTTAAACAGGACAAAAATGCAGAATTCTCAAATATAAAATAGCCAGAAGCGTATTTGACATTCGTTCCCGTTTTTCTTACCTATTCTATCTAGGTGGAAATGTTACAGAGGCCTCGTAGAGAGAATAATCTCAACAAGGATAAAGAAATTAACGATGGTGAACGTACGCCTTTAGAGACAAAGCCATCGCAGACTCATCAAGTTGGTTAAATTTCAATTTAGTTATTTCGTGTAACATGTTTTTAATAATGAACCAATATCTTTGGGAACACAAATCTCTTATTGCAGTAGCAACCACCTTACATGGCACAAACTTGTGAATTATGAGTGATAGAATTCAAAACGCTAACCTTTTATTTTCTACCTACTATAATTTTTTACAGCAGGGTATGATGTGAATAATTACCACAACGATGCTGAGATATTTGCAAAACGTGGATCCTGGTCCAGATAGAACAACGATTTCCCTATCTGGAGGCTTGCGAATCACACACTGCGCAACGGAGGTCTTTGCTCTGCGTTTCTCATAGCTAGTTTTTCTGCGTGACGCTCCCATCAGCAATCACCTATCAGCAAGATTGATCCGAGAAGCGCAAATCGACATTTAATCCAGTCAAGCTAAGGCTGTGGTCGAAGTCACAATGGTAATCTTTTAGTTCCCAGGATCGACATTCTATTAACCTCAACATTGGAATATGATTGTGTCGTTTTCTTGTTCAGCAATCGCAAGGTTTTTAAACAGCATACATTTACTTCCATAGAAAAACACAATACAATACAACGCTAACTGACGTTTCGGCAGTATCGCCTTCTTCAGAGCCGCTTTTTCGTGACTTCCAATGAGGAAGTTTAGAACAACTGTTTATAGTCGCATGTGGTTGACGGCAGTCGTAACGGCAGTTGTCGACCACATGCGACTATAATCAGCTGTTCTAAACTTCCTCATTGGAAGTCACGAAAAAGCGGCTCTGAAGAAGGCGATACTGCCGAAACGTCAGCTAGCGTTGTATTGTATTGTGTTTTTCTATGGAAGTAAAGGTAATCTTTTATTTTCTGCCTACTATAATTTTGCGAATATCTCAGCATAGTTGTGATAGAATTCAGTTTAGCTCTCCATTGCGGATTACCCTAGGGGAACAGAATTTTCCGACTTATAAGCTTAAAAGGACAACTACTCGGTTGTTGAAATGTTGATTTAAAAACAAGTCTTGTTCTTCACAAGAAAGTCGGTATGGAAGAAAAATAATTCTGTATTTTACTTGAAAATTTATCAAAGACTTGCTTCAGCCTCGCATTCGACGAAATCCGCTTCCAGGTAAAGGAGATCACTACAGACATGCTCACAAAAAGCTGAGAGACTCGAAAAATAAGGTGATTACCTTAGCGCTTTTATGGTCCATAAAAGTTTCTATAGCAATAACTCCAATTTTTTGGAGTCTTGCTGGCTTAGCTATTGTGGTTCCCTGTGGTCCCCAGGTCACCCTAGCCAAAGCCTGCCCCAGGTTGTCACATTGTGGTCATTATTCAAGCTATTTATTATTATTATTATCATTATTATTATTAAGTGTAGAGCTGAATCATTGCATGAGACGTAAACCCTGTGTTTAGCTGTCATGCTATCATCGTTTTGGAAAAACTGTTGGAAAAAAAATTCTGCCGATCAGGAAGTAGCATTTGTTAAACATTTTTGCAGTATTGTTGACCACACATTTTGTAATACTTTTGATGAACTATATTTGTGATTCTCTTACAGAAAAAGAACGACAAACGCAGAGCAATGAGATTTCGTCGAGATGAAATGGAACAACTGGTTGAGGTACACTTTTGCTATCTTTCTTATGTTGATTGAATATTGGCACATACAGTGCATATATATTCATCTATGAAGACCGCCTATCATATCGTCAATTTGTTCATTAGTCCATAATTCCATCCGTCCATCCCTTCTTCTACACATATACAGAGTATTAGAACTGAATGGAAAACCAAGTTTCTCAGTTCGGTTCCTCGACAATTACCCTGTACGTGTTTTGTCGGTTTTCACACCTGAAGCAAAAGGTAGGCAGCACTTGTCTGTGGTTGAAAGTGACAGGTGATTTGAGGAAAAGCGGGATCGACACGAAGACGACGGTAGCTTTCCCCGTGGTGACAATGTGTGGAATATGTATTCTTTCTTTGATGAGCTTACACGAGGTTGATAATGATGTTTACTTTCGGCTAACGTTTCGACGTCTTCGTCTTCCTCAGAGCCGATGACCCGAGTCGACGGTCCTCGCTTGTTATTCGTCTCGACGTGGCAGCTTCGCCTTCGTGTTGAGTCAGGTCTTCTTCAGTGAGCCATCTCCTCGAATTAAACATTACGGAAAAGTCGATATCATATCAGTTGGATGAGAAGTAAAAAAATCTGAATCTAGTAGGAGTCAAGCTAACCTAGAAGACAACTACTGCAGTGATAGCGATAGGATACCATTAGTGATACCGAGGTTTAAGGAAAGTCGGTTTCGAAATGTGTGGAATAGTTTGACTTATTTGTCATTATAGGTAGCTAATACTACACTTGTCTGGGAGAAAGGTGCGTAGGAAAGCCACCACATGTCATTACGATGACGATATTTGTATTAAAACACCCCTAACTCTGCTTAGTGAATTCGAATACGTGGTGCATCTTCAGAGATTGATTAATACCGTACACCTAAGAACGCTTAATACGAGTAACAGTCGCAGAGGTCACCACGGTCCAAACACCCTTGCACAACGGACGACGGTCTCGAAAAAACAAAGGCAATGGAAGATAGTCTACTATGTTTAATACCAGTGAATATGGCCATTCAGTTCTCAATATGAATACGGCTTACACTAACGCTACCAAGAGAGGTAGTTTCCCTGTGAACACGGTAGAAAATTTCCAGATAACTTTATTATAAAAATTTTTATCGAAGCGAAGCAAGTTAAGGACACTAGGAGTGAGCCGAAACAGAAACAGGAAAAGAAGGGGTCGAGCTCATCAAGTAGCGACTCCAAAGAGAAACAGAAAACCCGGAGAGCGAGAGGTACTATAAAGTTTGCTCCTCCGAGTGTTATACCCATCAAATCCATAGAGAAGTAAACTTATGTTCCAACAGAAAGTGATGAGACTTTACAGACCTTGCATTAATCGCTACCTGTATAGATTTCTTTAAAGTTTTTAATTTTGCTTTGCTCCATATGTGTGAAGGAACATGTTCATTTTTTGTAGGTCTCATTAGCTTTGGGATGCCTTATGATATTTTCCAGATATATTGCTTATTTTTTTCATTGGCCAATGACTTTGTTTATATGCGTAGAACGATTCTTACGTCTTACATGGATGGTGTAGCTGGTTTTTTTCTTTTTATAAGACTGTCTTTGTCTTTTTTCCAATGAAAGTCGAAGTTAAACGATTTTGAGTAGAGCGGTGATCACTCGAAAGTCATGGGACTAAAAGCTGAAGCAATACCTTGTCCAAGTACATTTTGTAAGCTCACATCTAGTACTTTATTTCACTTATAAGCTAAGTTTGACTTATATATAGCAAATCTACGTCATAATCGTTACGCGCATTACAATGAATTAAAAGGAAATTTTCGAATAACGGAAAAGAAGACATGAAGTGATATCCGGCAGCTAGCATAGGATTTAATCGCATGTTTTAGCAACTCTGAATATTATGCATACGTTACTAGCTAGTATGCAATGGTGGGTGTATTTCTAATAGTCGTGTGTGACTCACTTGACGCCTTTTCTGCAACTAATGTAAAAGTACATTTGCGGTTTCTGCCTGTTTATCCTCCTTAACCAGTCGGTCAACTAATCAAGGGGTTCCCCCTTCACAAACTAGCAAACCATCTCTGATTCACCCATACTTGGGGAAAACAACACTCTGGCATCGTTTGAGATCTCATTGAATAGAGAAGAAGATGGACGACCGCAGCCGAACTCCACAAATTCCAATAATACCTTCTCAAAACCAAGAAAAAGAGGAAAAATAACTTTTTAAAGTGCGAACAAAAAATTATTCATCACCTGTCATAAAACGATATTTAGAACTACTTCATTTTAAAAAACACAGCTGCGAGGAAGGCGAAGCAAAGAACCACCATGGTGTAGTAAAGAACACGTTAGCTCAGAAAGGCTAATAGCGGGTTGAATCTGCGGTCCGGAGTTTCGCAAATTTCTCAGAGCCATTGTGCATTCCTCATTGCCTGGCATGGTCATGCTGACTTGCCACTTATGTGATCAAATATTCTTGTAACCTTACAGTTAGGCCCTGTACCAACCGTTAATAAAACGTCGATTAGTAGCTTACTTCATGAAGTGAAACAATACTGTAGCACCAATGTTGGACAACAAATCGGTCGTGCCTTATAATTAAATACAAACCTAATAAATAAAACAAGCAACTATGGTTAGTAGGCGCAAATCATCAGAAAAATGCGGAATATGTTTCTAATATAGAGAGCATGCTCTGAACCGATGTAAATGCTTGGCGAAACAAGCTGTATGCACTTCTTGATGGCTTACTGCTCCAGCATGGCTATGACGTGTTTCTAGGCAGAGAACTACTAATAAGAACGAATAGTTCGTACCCAACACGTTCACCAGTGCTAAGAAGTCTTTCATTTTCACTAGGAATGTTACGTAAAAAATATGAACGCCAAGAATTAACATGAGAATTTAATTATAAGGTAGCAAACTTCCGATTCCCCAGGGTAAGTGAGTAGTCGTGACAAACGAAAAGCTACGACTTTCACAGGATTTCACGGAAAAAAAACTTTGACAACCAATGAAACAGCGACTAAATAAGAAATTTGGTAGATTTCTACGATTTTTCTTAAAAAAGGTGCACTCATTTACTACGTAATTAAGTAGATGATAAGCTCCTTTGAATAGTCAGATTATAAAAGCGGAGAAAACCACCGTTGCATCTGCCACGGCGGAATGAATACCCTACCAACACAACCATACTTGGCACTGAAAAGATCAAGAGCATGGCATCGTCAGATTCAGCATGAAAGAGCGATATCTTCGTAATTGATCCACGTAACATTCAAAAACTTAATATCAACCGTAACGTTATGTTTACATAGTACGTTGAGTGAATGAAACATCGACATTGCATACAAATAGAAGTGATTTACTTGGTAAATAAAGCAAAGATATTTTATTCCATATTGTCCAAAAAAGCTGATGTGTAACAGCTAAATCCTAGTTGATATGTGTATCGTATCACAGAGCTTTTCGGAAAAGCGCCGCTACCGTAACGTGCGCTGGTAATTGTCCATACACGAGTAACTGGTGTAGAAGCTGCAAAGATAAGAGTAGACTTTAAAAAGTAGAGTATTGAACTTCCATTTATACTGCTTAACTTTAAGTTTTTCTTTGAATAACCTGGTATAACAAGAAAGTTCAATCGTTCATGTTAGAAGGAAACAAAATGACTAACGGTTTGTGACGTGTTTCATATGTATCTGTGATAAACGATGACACCAGGTGTTGATTTTGTGGCATCTCCAGAACGCTGAAAGACATTGCCTTTTGAACTGTCCTTCTTTTCTTATTTTTGAAAGAATCTGTTGATTCCATGGAAAGAATTTAAAAAAGCTCGATAAAAAGCAATTTGAGGTGAGCGAAAACACAAAACTCGTTCAGTGAGATAAAACCGTCTCTGAATTCTGCCTTTAAGCTGAGCCAAGATATGCAATTACACCATTGGGACTAGAGAAGCCAAATCACGAAATTCAAGATGGACGAGATTCACTGGACCTTGCAAGCGTAAAAATCTTGTGAAATTAACATGTGCTTAATATTCAGTAGATTTTCTTTTCGTAAGATGCATTCTTGTGCTCACTGGTCGTGCTAATAACATTTGAAACGAGACTGCATACGTTATAAGCACAAAAATTTTCTAAAGACCCGAAAGAAACTACTAGTTGACTGTCAGCCCCATAACAACCAAGAGCCGGCCTTTTTCGCATTTTATTGTTCGGTTTCCCACTTAGTATAGTATAGAAAAACAAAAAATTTATAGAACAGAGTTCAGAACACGGCAGTGTCGACCAGAATTTGCTCACAGCATAAACTATAAACACTTTAGCATCGTCATGTGAGTGAACTACAATGGTTAACCCTTATACTCATCCGTCACCAATCAAAAATGAACAATGTTTGATATTTAATCTACTGATAAGAGCTTCATTCATATGGTTAAGAATAGAAATGCACTAAAATTGACCCGGTGAATCTTACGTAGATTCATTAAGTGTGAAGTGAACATACACATGTTTAGTTTGAAATCCCGAAAACGTAGAAACAAGTGACTTGACGTTATTCCCTCCTTAACGTAGAATTTTCCACCATTTGAATTTCAGAGCGTGGTAGTTTCTAAGTCACGGTCAGTAGTTACCAGCATGGAATGTTCGACCAGTATTCACAGTCTTGAGGCCGCGTTCATATCTTATTTCTTAAAAGTTATAGCTCTATTTTTTCTAAGGCCAAAGTTTCTGACAGACAAACAGTAATTCTCTCCTTCCTGAAACTCGGGGCACATTAAGCGGGTGGTCGCATTCAACCTCCTGTCTTGAGAAGATACACGGTTATTCACCCTTCTACAGCTTATTAACAAAATACATGTTTCTTTGGTTAGTGAACACAGTCATTAAATGACTGCTGTTGCTATGATTGTTCGATGATAACAATCTGCTTTTTACAGGATGTCGCAGAAGTCAGTACCATTATTAGCTAGCACACAGCGTAATAATGTCATTGCAAACCAACTTTCCTTAAACCTCGGTATAAATGATCAGTGAAACAAAAAACAAATTGTTATCAGCAGACAATCATAGCAACAACAATCCCGGTACAAAAGAGTATCGCCGGGTGAGATTGCCTCATTTGAGCGGTGTTCCACTGAAGAAGAATCACCGATTCGATACGACGACGAAGGCGGCGACGGTACATAGAGGGTACGGAGAAATGTGGAACTCGACTCGGATCATCAACTCTGAGGAAGACGAAGACGCCGAAACATTAGTCGAATAAATATTTGATAACAACCCCGTATTGGTTTAACAGTGAAACGAGGTACAGTCATTAGAAATATGTCATACAAGTCTTTAGAAGAATACTCAATAAGTCCATGTGGAATAATTCCTGAATACCAGAATCTAGAATGGTGTCGCCGTGCGAATATAAATTTTCCAGATGGTCAGCGTAGATTATAAGAAAAATATAATGACACAAAAAACGAGTCCTTGAAGAAAGAACACTCACAATTTGGGATACGAATGCATATTGTTATAGAGTTCAACAAGCGATGTAGAGAAGGTCAGCATTCCAATGATACACAACAAGCTAATCAGCATCGACATCCAAACACCGTTCTACAAACACTCTTAACAAATGAAAGCATTTACGAATATTCTGTTTTCTCATAATTCACCTGAAAACCCATCTTGGACTTTAAAAAGTAAACTATCGCAAGATATGAACTGACCAGTGTATCTATGGTATGATCACACACCGCTGATGCTGACGACGAAACAATCGCTGCAATAGGAGCGCACGATGAAACGTCATGTTGCATCTGAAGCACTGGACGTAAAGTGCTGACACAATAATGATTTCTATTTTTGACCGATCTCATATATTCCCTCATTGGTTATTCATTCCTAACGAACAATTTTCCAACACTGAATTTCTATTAACCTCGGTATTGATTAATAAATTAATGGTTTCTTCTTGAGCAAACACAAGGTTGTTAATGAGATTTATTCAATAGTAGCTGAAATTGCGATAGTATCGTCTTCCTTTCATTTTGACCTGAGCCAGGCACATTCCTCACCCATGTCAAACTCTGTGCGTTTGGCCTTCACCTAAAAAGCTGGAAGACTTACAACGAACAAAATTTCTAGTTATAATCACAACGTTAACCTTTTCGTTTACTGCCTATTCTTTTTAACGGTAGGGTTAACTTCGGACCTCAGGTGCTTGAAGTGGGGAACAAACCCGCTATCGTCCTTTCCGGGGAGTAACGCGTTCACCACCACACCATGCGGATTCCTCGCTTCGCCTGTCTCTCAGCTATTTCCATCGACCAGCGCCATCAGCAATCACCCGTGAACGGAATTGATCTGGGGAACCCACATCGGCACTGAGCCCAGTAAAGCTGAGGTTATAGGCGCAAAAAATGGCTAGTGTTTAAAAGCAGCTACTTACAAAGGCATAAAATTCACGTGGACAATTTTAACTGCTGAGGCTATGAGTGTCCGACTGCGTAGACTGTGTGTCAATTTTGACAATTCCAGGTTCCGAAGAAGGCGAAACCGCTGAGGAAACGTACTGAATGAGTCTTGTTATTAACACCTTCATTTCTGCTCGAGAAGAAGGCATTAATTTATTACATAAATCTCTACCGATTGTTTAAGGTTCTATCTAAGATTTAAGGAAATTTAAGTACCAAATAATAGGTGAAACACATTGAATAGTGACCTCAAATCTAACATGATCGATATACTGATCAATATTGTCAAATATCCCAACAAGCTGTTCACGGGCGGCTTTCTCCACATTTTCCTGCAAATTTTCCGACAACAACGCCTGGGAATGTTGGAGTTTGGCTATTAATGAGCTAATTGGAACTTGCATCTTCTCAAGTCTGAAATGGTTTAGAGATTACTATTTAATGGATCATAAGTGCGGAAATCATTGAAAAGCCCTAGAAAACTGCCTTTTATTAAGCTTAGTCAGGTTAGTGAACAGGGCGTTAAGTTTAAGACGGAGAGGACGAGCTCTGCGGGTCCCGATTTCGTCGACTTGCTCTAGCATCTAAAATTGTTACATTCTGCTGGTATGTACTCAATAGATTTTCAAGAACCAATTTTTAGTTGTTTTGTTAAGAACTCTGAAACAAAATTAGCGACACTAACGTTGACATGTAGGTGTTTTACGATTGATTCTTGACTAAAAAATGTGGAACGGTGTGGAGTGAAGAAAATACAGAAATATGCCGAAAAAAAGCCATCAAAAAGAATCCTGCTTCATTCTTCAAGTGCACGCTGTGCACTGGATAGAATTTACCAGATAATAGAGATGCTTTCGGATTCTGACAGACAACTGCTTCTGAGACGAAATCCTATACAAAGCTTACGGATGAAACGGCCTTAGGTCGACCAGAGGCTGCATCAAGTTTGCTTTCGAATACTTTTGCCTTCGCTTCGATGTCCATGTTGGAAATTGTCGAGTTTATCTGCAATTGGAATTGTAATTGGTTTTGATCACTCTAGATTACCGCTTGATAAGCTGAAATATGGCGCTTAAAGTGATCTATGAACACAAATAAACTGATTAGCTAAACTACCTTAGAGAGAGCAATATGATCAATTTCCGATACATTCACAGAGGAGAGTTGCTGGAGAAGTTCGAAATGCTCCTCGGAGATAATGAAATTGAATGGTTCTACTGCCGGCAGATCAGTGAACGTGACGTTCAAGAATCGCTCAAGTTTCATGTACGCTTCACTTTCAAACGACTGAAACATGTGACATCTTTTAAAGGTTTCTGAAATGTCAACGAAAACAACAACACAAAAACAAGACTTCTTCTATAATTTAAGTATTCTGTTATCAGACATTAGCCGTGATACTTCAAGCCTTTTAGCATTATCTGATAACCGTAGTATCAGCCTCAATTACTTCATCGTTGACCCTTCAAATTCATAACCAATTGAATAAGAACAATGAGATACCACACAACTGTAATGAATATTGTCTGTGTTTTTGATTAGATATTCTCACTTTTGTGTTTTGAAGGAGTTGTTCGTCTCGGAAAAAAGAAAGATCACAACTTAGTAACAACGGCCCTTCTGAACTGAATGAACAAGAAAATAAGTGGATGAAAACCACGACACTTTCAAGGAGCACATATGATTTCAGAGGATAGAGGACCAGTGAATATTGGATAACCGCTGAATGTAGGCAAAAATTCTAAAAGAAGGCAAAATGTTCCTTAGGTTAACGTTGTTTATTCCAACACTATAATTTGCCAAAACACGACGCCTACTGCTTCCTATACGGTCTAGTACGAATAGGATATGCGGTCCAGCAACGAAGTCGCGATGCTATGTTTTTTCTCGCCTTTTTTTCATTGGACTCGGTACTTGGCACTCGCATGGTACAGATGGCCCGCCCTCACTGATTGTGCTGGCCCCAGCATAATCTTCATTATTCGGAGATTTGCTGTCTAACCCATTGTGGTTTCCTGGAATTCCGAGGTTAGCCTAGCCAAAGTTTGCCTCAGGTCTTCACCGCCACAGGTCGTCGCAGCCGTTATGGATCAAATGGAGATTTGCCACCATTCGACTTTGACACCAGGGCGGTGGTAGATCCTCGTATTGGTTTACTCCCAGGTAGGCCTCCTGATGGAAACGCCGGACTCCTTCTCAGCTTAGGAGACCCTGCCAGAGGATGAATCAACCCCTGTACATAGCAGCCCGACACCCAGGAACACTTCCCAGCCACTATGAAGCGGTAAACCGTTGGGAGCACTTTTTCATTACGCACCATTACTTGACTAGATGTACTTTCTAACACCCCACAAAGATGATGAAATAAAAATTATTTAAGCTACATAAGATGTACATCAAGAACTGGCAATTTTTCTTCTGATGACGATCTGAGTTAATTTTCACCTTACTTTCTTCCTACAGTATATGTTAACAAACGAATTAATTCCAATTCTATTGATATCGAAGTATAATCTCAGTCGACTTCATCGAATTTTACTCGTAACTCTTCATTAGAGAGTTTGATAAAAAAAAGATTTGGGTCCAAAATACCTTCTTAGGAGTGAAATCTCCAATTCATCCTCTATTCACTATTTACACATGCCTTCACAATTTTTTATTTGTATACTACATGAGCTGACACCGTATACTGTGGGGATGCGAGCGCTTCGTTCATTCAAACCATTTCCTTCCGTCCATCTACAACGAAGCTCCTCAGATTTGCGTGTGAGTTTGTTAACCACTTCAGATATTTCATCTTCATGAGTGTCGTTAAAAGTTGGTCGAGTAGAATGTTTCTGGAATTCTGCAGTGAAAACCTATATCAAGGCTTAAACAACAGACAGCCGCTAGTGTTTTCGGGTATGAAGGAGCTTGTTCAATAGAAGTTTGGTAATAGTTCACCGATTCAGAAAGTAAGGGAGGCTTGAGTGATCTGAAGAGCTGTCCAACCAACCTAAGCCTTGCGCCTACTATGTGACTGAACCTCTTTCTCCACCACCGCTCTACAGGCGCCTTAGCAACTATTCTTTTCTGATCTCAAAATGGGAGCAGAAGTAGAGCACTGAGAATGTAGCCAAAACTTCCTACAAAACTTCCTCATACTCAGTCGAATGAAAGTGTGCAAGATTACATCTGCTCCCTCACTTTTATGACTGCAACAAACGCTCACAAAGCTGCACTTGAAATCAAATTGCTTTATCTTAGCATTACATTAAATTGAAAGTTTATGCTTCTTATTTTTATGTCAGTAACGTGTGCCATAATGATAATGTCAGTATAAGGAAAAAGAAAGGCGCTTGCCAAGCCGATCATCAGTTCCAAGGTCGGCGAATTGACACCTGACTTGTTTGCATCAGCTCATTCACTCAAGCTCATAGAAGATGGTAACTGCATGCTATGAGGCATTGGGAACGCTCTACCAGTGGAATTTCAGGATTTCAGGACCGGCAGCACTCCACAATATTTATAAGGAAGACCGAAATTCTTCAAACAACAGCCGAACCCACAAGCAAATCCAAAGACTTTCCTGTATAAAGCATGCGAGGAAACAAATCTAATAGAATAAGTACTGGGCTCTCCATACAATATGTGAATGTTAAGTGAATATGTGAGTTATGCAAAATATAAACGGAAACAAATCTCGAAATTCTCTAGAAAGAAGGACCACTACTCGATAAAAGTTTTACATTGCATATCAACGGCTACTTCTATGTTGTAAAGAATATTCGTTTTAAAATGTCTTACATCGTCTATCTTACACCCTATAAAAGTTTGACGTAGTAGAGTACTTTAGTAGAAGATTCTCACATTTTCGACGTTATCAATAAAATGGTGCGTATGGCACGGTGGTTGGAGGAGCCCTACAATACCCACATGGGATCGATCCCTGCGCCCGTGGCTCAGCAAGCCTTCCATCCCTCCTGGTGGGCAAATTGGTACCAAACTTGTCTGGGAGGATAGCAGCACTGGCTCGATACATCGGAAGGCCACCGCGAGCCACTGTAAAGGTCAGATATGCATTCAATGACCTTCAAATGACGCTTAATGAAGTCGAATGAACGGCGTATCTCTCAGGAAATGATCAAAGCCGAGAGCTTTTTCCTCTTTTATCAATAGAAGAAAGCTTCTCATGACATGCAATAACTTCGGAGTATTTGAGAATACCTAGACACTGTTCTGTGAGAAAAACTTTTCTTCACATCATTTTTTGGGTGAAAACAAATTTTAGAGTGGACGTTTTCTCTTTAGAGATAAAGGCTAAAAGGATAAAGCTTTCGGCGTTAATCAATCCCTGAGGAATGCACCATGAATTCGACTACATAAAGTATCGTTGGAGGTGATTGAATGCATTCCGGCCTTTAAAATCACACGCGGTGGCCTACCGATGTATCTACCCAATGCTGCTATCCTCGCAGACAAGTCCGGTACCAATTTGCCGACCCCGGAAGGATGGAAGGCTTAGTGGGTCATGGGCGCGAGGATCGATTCCACGTATGTGCTGCAGTGGCGCCACCAACCACTGCGCCACACGGCCCCTCTTTCTTATAGAAAAGGAAAAATGTTTTTTGAGAGGAAACCAATAAACGTGAGCATCACCTTAAGCCTTTTCAATTGGAACTTCTTGTCGAGTTCGAAGACTTCGTACAAAGTTTCATTTCGTTGGCAACCCCGTATCAGATCCACAACAGAAAGGTCACCTATCAACGATAATAGGTCACCACCATCACTACTCTGCCACCTACTGCGCACAATCTCTACGTACCGTTGAGCCAACTGAAAAGGAAAAAAAAATTAAAAACTGCTTAAAAAGTCGCAAAGTCAGCTGAAATCAGAAAAAGACGAATTTTGACCACAAAAAACCAACTGTGTACTTATGGTTTTCAAACAATCGCATCTTCCTATTATAGTAGATGATGTAGTTATTATTATAGCAGAACATAGATGTGATAAATTATTCAGATATTCTAATAGTCGCAAATCAATAATATTTTCTTAATCTGAGAAGAGAATTACGCTCTCCAGTAAACCCACAATGAGCCTTCAATATTCCATCGAAAGAAAAGCAGAATTATTCAAATCAAGAAGAAAAAGTAATATCAGATGACAGATAGTTTGGAAACCAGATAACTGGAACGATGAGCAAGTTCAGCCTCCTAACTAATCTGAGGTCGTTGATTCGGAGGAAAACTGGTGCAGCTGCGTAAGATGAGCGAAATTTGCTCTAGTTAACACAGTGCATTTGGAAAGTAATCTCACATTCGAGAAATTTATCACTTTAACAAGCAACCGTTTCACTAATAAATGGATACGCCAACCGACAAAATATCTGGACGTGAGAGGGGATCGCGAAAGGTTTGACATGCGATATCTGATGCATTTCCAACAGTAAATAAGAGACAAGCTGTAAGGATGGATAGTGCAGTGAACGTGGCCATAGCCAACCAAATTCCGCTGAAATGTGGTGGTTGATCAAAGAACAGTAACGGAATAAAGATGGATATAAAGAAAAAAGGAAATAAAGGACAGCAACCATGAATAAAATCGTCCTCCAGTCGATCGTACACAACAGTCATCATTGTAAAATGTCGGACGTCGCCCACAAACTCCATAGAATAGTCCAAAAAGAAAACAGAAGGCAATTAACATAAATATTGATGTGACTACTAACAAGAACGGCCGGCTGAAAACGATACGATATTCTGACCATAAAAGCGTAATGCAAAATCTGTCGGCATTTCTCCATCTCAATTTCATTTTCTTCACCGCCTAACGATTCGACTTCGAAAGAGATGCGAATTTATTGAGGAGACACTACGTTATACAAACCTGTAATGCATAATCTTAGCCGTAACGCTCTCTTTGGGATCAGTAGCATGAGCAACTAAATCGTAAAGCACGTCGAAATTGATCTGAAATCAATTCGAAACTATAAAATGTCCCCGAAAAACATCCTTAATCGCTGTTCCATACCTGGCGAATTTGGGTCGAAATCGTTTCCGCGGTGACGAAAAGATCGTCGGCAATTCTTTTCAAAATTGTCTGTGATGCTGGAAATCATTAAACCTGCTGAGAAATCTACTTTCGTTTCAAAGAAACAGAAACTCGCTAAAGAATCTTAATTTAAAAATAGGTCACAAATTCTTACAATGAACTTTTTTGTCGATTTCAATTTGTAGTTTGTTCTCCATAGCCGTAAAGTGCTGAACTGCACTGTCAAGTAGCTGGGGGACGTTTATTCGTCTAATCTGTCGAAGGGCTTCGTCGGCATTCAACGAGATCATGCCCTAAAATGTGTTAACTATTCCACTATTGAAAACAACGATTACGGATTTTCGAATGCTCTCAGATGTCCATTTATTCGCTTAAGGTTACTTCATAATAAGATCCATTAAATATTGTGCAACTATGTTAAGAAGGGTGGCGCGCGAAGGCCGCGTGTGGCGCAGTGGGCGGAGGCGCCCTGCAATACACACGTGGAATCGATCTCCAATCCCTCTATCACTCCATGGTCATCAAATTAGTGTTGAACTTGTCTCGAAGGATCTCGAAGGATATACACTGTTTTAAATCAATAGTATGCCATTATAAGTAATTCTAGAGGAGGATATATATTCAGTCACTTCTACGATGTCACAAATGGAGTCAAATGCCTTGCCTATTTCTAAGGAGTTGATAAACGTCAGAAATGAAAGAACAAGCGATGCGAGCCGGTAATAATAAAATTCGAAGAAAATTTGGTAAAAAAAGAGTGTGTCGACTGCAAACTTTTTCTAGGATGCTGCGTGGTTGTACACAGTTGTACTCTCGTCGTCTTGTTGATTAAAAACGGTAACCAAAGCTTTGAGGGTGCGTGCGGCTGAATGGTTGGAGACGTCATTGCGACACGCACGTGCAATCATTCCAGGGGCCCGTGGCCCACCAAACCTTCTATCTCTCCGGGGTTGGCAAACTGGTACCACATTCGTCTGGGAGGATAGGAGCATCGGCTCTATACATCGGTAGGCTACCGCGAGTCATTGTAAAGGCCAAATTTGCATTCAATCACCTCGAGATGATGCTTGATGAAGTCGAATGCAAGGCGCATCCTTAAGGGATTAATCAACGCCGAGAGCTTTATCCTTTATCTTTTACTTTAGGAAAGAAGTGGGTGGGTCCTTAGAATGAAAAAAAATTTCCAAAAAAAGTCAAAGACCGCAATACAATGAGAAAAGTACTTACCAGGTCGACTTTCAATCGTGGAGGAGTCATAGCTTCCAAAGATTTCTCTGCTTTGTGACAAACAGCTTTCACAGATTCGATTTCGTTGTGCAGACACAATTGTAACTCATTGATTAATGTGTTCCGCATGCGACCAAACTCGACCTTACATCAATAATAAATTGCTTTTTTAATGTTTTCATTTAAGACACAAAACGGGTAATATATAGTCACTTACGACAAAGTTATTAATTGTAACTTTACCCTACGTAATTTCATGCTTCAATTCACTGTGCTTGCTCCTTCTCGAGCAATTTTGTAACTAAACGGCTCAGCCCTAAAAGATAAACGGCCTTTTGACCCCCCATCTTAATTCAACCTCATTTCAAAATGGCACCATATCATTGTACTAAATATGATATCTTGAAGAAAGAGTGCAGAATGTAGTCAATGATACCTCAAATTGAGAATAATCGTCGACAATTTTCCAAATCTCTGTCCGAATGTCGTCTATCCAAACGTGGATATCCTCAGCACCTATAATATGCACACATACTATTACATTCGATTTTATTGCGACCTAGTTAAAAACTGCTGACTTTGGCTTATGTTAATTAACTTGTCGATGGTATTTGCACCAGTGAGTTTCTTAACTCGTTGAATAACTTCATGTCCAGCGTCTGACAACCGAATTAACAAGGTTCTATTCAACATCTGGTAGTCATCAATCAACAGTTTTCGTATTCTCTGGAAAAACACATTACCAAATTACTCGTGTTTTATACAATGTTCCCCTTGTCAACGATTTCATAAGAACGCCAGCCTTGGGACATTAGGGTTGGATAAACACGACGATGGAGAGGTGGTAGCCTACAGCACAGAACCGGATCCTCATATGAGCGCTATGGGTGAACACCTGCAGTTTAAACAAAGCGCCATGAGCCTCCAACTTATTCTACCAGAACACGATTTTAAAAAGTGGAGGATAACTTTTTCGGATAAAACAAAGCACTACGGCTGACAGGTATCTCTGAGACTGTATATCATTGTACTTACAATTGAAGTATTGAAATTATGTCATGTCTCCGGAAGAACCGAAGCAATCAAGAGCTTTTTGTCACCTTATTCACACTGCAGAAATCACGGTCTTTTTGCAAAGTTGGATATGGTAAAAAAAACATATACAGTTGTATTTGGAAAGTATTTCATTGACAGAACTGTTCCAGATTGCAGGAAGCTTCTAACGTTAAAATAAATCATTGGCAACAAGGTACCGGCGTCACCGAAGGCAAGTGCCATTGTTTCTGATGAAAGCTTCCCCTATTTGTTTCCTAAGGATCAATAGCGATTTAGGAAAGCATTGAATACGATGTTGGTCGCAATTTACTTTTCTTTTATAATTAACAGAGACGTGAATAATAGCATATTAATTCTTACAACAAACTTCTTCTCTGTTCATTTGACGACTAAATTGGTCACTATTTGAGACATGGGGTAAAACGAAGGTCAGAGTTCAGAACAGCAATTAATTAGCCACAAATTCGTCATAGATAGCATTCCAGTAACATATACAATCATAAAGCCCACGAAGTTAAGAATTTTAGGTGACTAATATCATTCGAAAATCCATACCCTACTGTTTCAGTGATCTAGAGGTATAAAACCTCGGATTTTCTCGCTTGATGCTGTTGATACATACGGCCACCTATACAGCGGTAAAGAATCATCTCAATACAGAGAAGCGAAAATTACTGCTTCAAAAGTTCTGTGATGATAATTCAATTTTTCATTCTTCTATAATAACATACACATCAAGTATTCTTGTAAATGGTATACGTCTGCCCCTGGACTATACCCTTCAGCCTTCAAAAAAGAAGAACGCACCGAATCCGTCTCACGTTTGTACAGATTCAAATCATCAATACAGTAATTAAGACGACTCGGTAATTCTTCCATACCGTATTCAGCATACTGTCCCGTGATCAAAAGTGTTGCTGCAGCAAATCTGCAAAGCACAGTTTTCAGTGTTGTGAAACATTCCTAATCTTTCAGGAAAAAATTGCTCACAGAGACCGTCACCGTTTTCCTGAATTCAAAAACTAATTGAGACTACGAGAATCGTTATTAGAACGTACTTACACATCAAAAAAAATCAAAAGCACCATGATGACGTTAAGACAGTTTCGTTTGCACCCATCGTAGCGAGAATCAGTGTTTTGCTTTCGTGATGGACTCGACCAACAACAAACACAGCATCTGGAATATGGTCAACTTCACGAATAACTGATACAATCTCTACAGCCATTTACAAATAAGAATAACGCTAAATAAGCCAACGAAAAACATATTTTGAAAACACATACGAAATAGGAATTTGGAGAACAAATTTAACTTAGAAAAGAAAAAAGAATTGGATTTTCATTAAATCTTCCAAAGCACTAATTTCTCTGCTTTTACGAGTTGATTTCATATTTTAGACAAACATGGAAAGATGATGATCACTTTGTTCGATTTAAATGACAGTATTTCTTGACAGACAAACACTTCTTGGTAAACCCACTGGTTTCACGTCCCTGACAGTGGTACAACGTGAAGCAAGGGTTCTATATTAAGCAGAATTACCTAACATCCTACCAGTTTACTTGGCTATCCTCCGTGTTATCATCTCGATCAAACGTTATCGCGGTTTATCATTAAGCAAATTCATCGAGTATTAGTTGAAACTTCATTTTCACCGTAGAGTGATAAGCTCCGTTCACTGATTGCCACAAAGAGATTCAAATTTACAGTGTTAGGTTTTTTTATCTTTATTATTTACCCATAACTGGGCAACGTCTAGTCTGGTAGACGCTGCCATGTATGAGTCTACTTCTAGCTTAACTTGTAGATGGCAATGTCAAATTCCTTGGTGTATCCTTGGAAAACAAAACCAGCTTTTCTCCATGAAACAGAGTTTGTAAGAAGTTCTATGGAAGTCTAAGTACTTTTTATTCCACAATCACTGCAGAAGCCCTCAATAATTCCGAAGATGAATCAAATAGGATTCCACTCTCTGTATGTCTAACCTTTTATATACTACTTATTCTTTTTCCACGATAGGTACGAAACACAGCCACAAGGATGCTGAGATATAAGCAAAATTCGGAACCTCAGTTGGGTTTCGAACTCGCGATTACCCTTGCTGGCGGCTCACATGCCATCAGCCATTCACCACACCAAGGCCCTTTCTCTCAACAATATTTGCAGTCCATCGGTGTTATCAGAAGTCATTCGTCAACGAAAAGATAAATAAGAACATCTGAGATAAAGAAAAAGCAAGGTCCCTGGTTGGTGTGGTGAACAGTGCGCTCACTGTAATCAGGAACTCAAATCTCACCCGAAACTCTGAGTTTTACTCATTTTTCAGCATCCTTGTGAAATCGCTTCACAACGTATTCTGCCTTGAAAAAAGTATCCAGTAAGTAAAATGTTAATACATTGAAACTTCGACTGGAGCTTTTATTCTCGGATTTTAGAAGGAGGTTGAATGAACGCGAGATCGAAATAGAATCAGAATCGCACACATGACAAATGGCAACACTATCGCTGTGCCAGCCATCCCTTTGAGTGTATATGTTATCAGTGGAACAGACCTGTAAGCACATAGATAATGTGAAATGGAAGATATAGTAAAAAACCTGACAACCGATAATCTAATGCCATCCGAAATCCTAACTGTGTCTGCAGATATATCAAGCAATTCAAGATCGGAAAATTTGTGACAGTACGGATCAGCGCGGGGTGCGTTAGGTCCAGTAGTTAGAGGTGCGCTGCAGTAGACTCAAGGCTAAACTCTTCGACCAGGAAAAATTGATCCCACCATTCTTCAGGTTATCAAAGTGGTTCCAGTCTTCTCTGTCATGGTGAAATACTGACTTAGTGGACCAGCGCAAGTTACTCCAGAAGCCAAATGCGCATTTAGCATTCTCTATGATGCTATCAATGTAATCGAATATTTGTAAGAGGTTGACGAACGTCAAGCGCTTTACCGTTTTACACGTTTTCCTTTACAGTACAGCCAAAAAGCAAATTACGATAAGAATTACGTGTATTTAAATCTCAACCAAAATTGTATGGCATAAATGCTAACGTCGGCGCAAGCAAATTCGTTGGTGAGACACTTTCACTGTGTTGACTCATGCGACGAAATAGATGCCGTATTATTATAATCACGGCGTTGAACTTCATGTCCTACGAACGCTAGCAGGTTTTTCTGCACAAAAGCCGGCATTTTAGATAGAATAACCAACGATAGTTGAAGCTATTATTTCTGCATCTTGTTGAATCCAGAATGGGATGAAGTGAGGGTATGGCTGAGAAGGCAACCATTTTTACATCGATAGCGACTAGCAGAGGTATAAAATTCAAATTCAAGAACTAGTTGTCACTCACACAAACACATTTTCCGAACGGATTGAAAGAAGTGAAATTTCTTAAAAATAGGAAGAAACCATGAGAATGTGAGCTTAGGCGGTCTAATCACAAAAAATGAATGAAGTTGGATAGAGAAAGAGGACTGTAAGAATATTAAATATCAAATAATATAATATGACATCAATCGGCGACAACGACAAGAACAGATATACCACTGTATGTGTCTGTCATTTATAATAGCTGATCAGAACTTATTATGCAGCAAATAGCAAAACGGAAAAAAGATGGAAAGAATTTTACCTGTAGAAGAGATAAAAAATGGGGAACACAATTCCAATTGAAATTAAGCTGCACACTGCGATTAGCCAGCCTTTTTGCCACGACCACCACTAAATGCATCATTTCCTCAATTAAAATCCATTTCTATAATCGATTGTTTTTGCTCCATCAAATTTACCAACATCATATCAAAGTACACTATTCGATATTTACATGATCCGGACGTGTCAGACGTTGTGCGGATCCCAGAACCTTCTCCATTCAATTCGTTTCCTTGGATCCATCACCACTTGACCTCCAAGTCTTTGCGTCTGGGATCAGGTGCTGATTAGCGATTTCGGTATACTTTATCAAAGTCTGTCATGCCGGGTCATGTAAATACAGTGGTGAGTCGATTTTCCATTGAATACCAGGATAGTTACGCCATTCTCATGTCTTCCCCATCCTTTGTGGGATAAAGTGTGCTGTACAAGTACAAGTACAAGCTATACCAATTTATCGACCCCAGAATGGTTGGAGGATTGGGTTCGTCAAAGTAGGGTTAAATAAACGAACATGAGTGGATTACAGAACACATCTCTACGCTAATCGCTTGTGAAAAAAACTGATTAAGTCTCGTTTTCCAATGTATACTTTTAATTTCCACTCTAAATGTTATCTTGATTGGATTTACAACTTGGACTTATCTTTTAATTCCGTTTGCACTGAACCAGTAACCTTTATTCTTGGCAGCAAAAATTAGTAGAAAACGACAAAACAAGGCTAAAAGTCTAGACAGAATATAATTACAAAACAATCCTTTTCATGAAGTCTGATTCAATTGCTTCATTGCTTAAACACGAAGCTTCTTACTTCGTCGCGATACAAACGGTTACGATAGTGAAAAATGCTCAATTCTTGCTCTTTGCGTTCATTTCTCGCGTTTTATTAAGTAGCGGCACCTTTCTAAGTTTATCTTAATATGATTGATTTTACTTGAGGAATCGTCGAATGAATACTTCTTTATCAGCTTGCCTTATTTGAGAGTATTGCCGCCATCCAGGGGCGGAATTCGAAAATCCGTTCATCACACGAACTAGCTACGGGTCAGCACACGTAATCTATTTATTCTGAGTATCAGCGAACCTGCGTACGTGATCAAATACTCACCATACACCGTTCTCAACCATAAAGACATATAATATGTGTACATTCACGCACACAAAGGCATATATATATACATATAAATATATTATGTAGCAAAGTGATGAGACGTACCCTGCAAGTCACACAGTGGGAGTTCGTTCAACCCTACATACCAGGCCAACCAAACCCTACTCCCCCAACTATTTATAATAGGAAAATTGTTACCAGATTGTACAATTCACTTTATAGCCCAACTATGCATGCCTCGCCTAACGTCTACGTTGAGAATAGAGTAATGCATCCGTAAGGAAATGATATAAGGTAACCAAACGCTTTATTCCTATCCTTTACATATAAATGCACAAACTTGTTTAACCATAGAATAGAGAAAAGGCATAGCAGAAATAGCGCTTACATCCAAGTACTTGGTTTCGATCGATTTCCGAATCTCGTTTAAATCACCCATGAGCGCTTGACGGTTTAGTAACTCTGAAAAAAGTCAAACTGTTTTCATTTCAAAACGGTCCCGATGTTCGATATTATTATGCTTTTTGAAGGTAAGTGATAAAAGTTAGTTTTTTAAACGCTTTTTTTTGATTACGTTCTTTCTACTCGTTCTAAGTGTTCGTCCAATGCTAGGTAAAGTTCGCTATGTCTTAAATAAAAATGGTGCGAAACAGCAAAGTCTGTGTTTAAATCACTGATTCAAGCGTCTCGCTAGCACTGTTTCTATGTGCGTGTCGTAAGATTACTATAATTCTAAGTAGTGAGAATTATAAATGGTCGTGAAAAATAGCGGAACGATCGAGATTCTTCTATACCATTTTTATCATCAAGTTCTTTAGAATGCAAATGTCTGACATAAAAACAAAGCTCGGCCTGGTATTATAAGATTTTTTCATGATGATACATGATGAAATAAGGTCACGATAAATCTCCCGTCGGCAGTGATTAGGAATTGGGATCAGTATTGCACATTAGACAATGAAATATATCTAAGCACCGAATATTCTAAGGTTATCATCACAAATAGATAGAACATGATCGTATTGTGAATGTTCCTCCCATTGTAAATGCATTGCTAAGAAATCATTGCCTTTCCACTAGAAGACGTGTGTAGCGATGTCAGAGATATCTTGCACAAGCCGTCGTCGGTTCGATCCCACGCAGTTGTTAGATCCCTCGCAACACTCACCGAATCGGTTGCTTTTTCGTTCCACTACACTGCACTCACCAAGTTTTCCATCTCTTTTGCGTCGGCGAATTGGTAACATACTTGCATGGAGAAATAGCGACAGTAACTTGCTACAACAGCGGGTCCAAGCAAATAATTCTAAATACAGGCCAAATATGCATTCAGTCACCTTTACCATGTTTAACGGAATCGAATGCATGATGTGCAATTAAGCGATTGTTCAAAAAGCTGAACGCTTTTTACGTTTCATAGTGAAGTCATGTAGTATGACAATTTCTCTCTGGCTTCTGCTGCTATGACGATAAGATCACACGGTTGAAGGTAGTGCCGCCGTGCACGCGATACAACCGATTGGGCTTTCTTTGCGAAGAGGTCGACGACGCAAGACTAACCGACCACTCGATGAAGTGATTTGCTTGTTTGCTTGCTCGCTTGCATCGTATAATAGGAAAATTCCAGGTTTACTTAACGGTAATACGAGATACCAGATGAATATTATCTAACTATAGCACATTTTCTATGATACACCAATCGTTGTGGTTACTGTAGCACCTTTTCATTGGGTAGTAAGGATAGAAAAAAGCTGGACACATGGTGGACATGGTGCCATGTAATTTTATACTATCGCTGAAATGGCGAGGTTCTTAGTGTATCATCGAGACATTCGGACAGCGTTTGTAAACAATGAATTCTTTACATCTGCAAAAATGACCAGTTGATAATAGATAGCATTTCTGAAAAACATTAAGTAATATAGCTGTAACCAGATGTTTAACGAAGACGTAAAAGCTGCTTAAATTAGCGAAAATCGCATTGGAAATAGTTATCGATAGCTCTGAAAAATCAGAGCAGCTCTGTGAATTGTGCAGTTTTTCAGAAAGTTTAGATGAAATCCACAGCAATCTGGTTATGTAGATAAGCTAAAATGACTGTGACGGCACGCTGTTTGAAATTAGTTCACATTTCTTTCTTTTTCTTTTAGGTGTTCGTGTTCCTTTCCAGTGAACGTGTTCTGAGCGATCTTAGGGAATTTCATTAAGACAAAATGACTATGATCACTTGGTCGATAAAATTGGCAATAGGAATACGACGCCCAGTATTGACTAACCTTCATGTGGAAATGCTGTCGAAAGCAATGATACGAAATTATTAATGCTTGAATAGAAGTAGCTTAAGGTTTTGTCGTCTATTCGTCGTTGTAAGAATGCTCCACATTTATACTGTTCAGCACTATGATATGGTGTGAATTCCATTGCAAAACTCTGTGTAAGGAGTACAGCAAAGAATATCATTTTACAAGGTAGACATGCTATCCTGCAATTTAACACTTGTTGTTTGTGAAGAATTATTCAAAACGATAAAAAACAATGATTAAATGTTATTTGACAAAAAGAAAACTGCAAAATAGATGAAGAAGAAGATGAAGATAGGAAGAACTGCTAACTTAAAATGAAATCCTTCCGTAATAGAGGAACGTGTACGAAAGTCATATGATTCTCATTCTTGTGATTCACAGAATTCTCATTCATCCTAACCTATCAGATAGCATTATAATCTTTACTATACAGATGAAATAGAGAGTAACTGGCAATCGATGATGGATCATCGTTATTAGAACGTGCAACCAAATCACCGACCACGAATTGAAACCTATGAATACCTCACGTAAGCAAATACCCACCACTTCGCATTAGTAGTTTTTTCTGATTTTGTAGTGTACAAAAGACCAAAGAAATCGTGCTATATGTACCAGAAAAGAAACACCAGAAAATAAAAAATACGTTAAATAAAATGAAACATAATCTCTGCAAAGTGTAAGAATTGGAAAGAGTAATGAAAACGAGACTATAACGACTATGGTGGGCAAAGGAGCAAAGAGATGCCCAACATATTTGAAATGGACTTCGTACGGGTAAAACGTTGTTCATACATTGCAAGAAATGGTGAGTTGTGTGGGGCGGAGAGAGGTTGGCTAAATCGTGTCGGTCTGCGCACCATCTCCACCCACCATATCCCGAACCGCTGACGTTAATGTTAGCAAATTCCCTTTGCTGCTTAGTAACTCGAAGATATTCTCTAGAAAAAATAGAACCGTTCGTATTGAATCAATAACAAATCTATTTGGTTCCAAAGTTATAACCTCACAACAGTGAAAAGTTTTCTTATTATAAGGTTGAAGAAAAATAATATTTTCTTAGCCCTTTTATACTAGCTGAGATACAAGAGAAATGAGGGACGCGTATGGTGTGGTGGTGAACGCGTTACTCCACGGAAAGGACAATAGCGCGTTCATTCCCCACTGCCGACAGCTGCGGTCCGGAGTTTTGCAAATGTCGCAGCATTATAGAAGTAACATTTTCTTAATTCGTTGTACCGAACACCCAATGAAACAAGAGACAACCGCTATGCTCCTATTCGGTACTTTCATTCTGTTCACAATCGATTTTCTATTTCTAATCTGATGCTTGAAGTTTTCGTTTAGCGCAGACAAAAAGAGTCGCTCATTAGTCGCTGAACGGAGACAGCCAGTGAATGAAGAAGAGAAACGTACGCTTTCCTGAACATTGATCGATTATCCATTAAGTCTGAAAACATCTGGAAGCAGCATTACTGGATATTGGAGAAGAATGTTGTAAGCCTGTCGGCCTAACTGACAAGAGTAACCCGTACTCAATACATGAAGCTGGTTTTTTAACAACTGACGGCAATTTTTCAATCACTACAAAATTCCAGAAGTTCAGAACTTTACAGGTTTGTAGGATAGACTACTTCTTTTAAGGAAAATCTCGTGTGTTATGGTCTACGAAATTGAATTTTCCAGAATTTTCAACAGAAGATTGGCAGCTGCAAGAATAAAGAATGAATTGGAATACGCAACCGTGTTATATGAACGAAATATCCTTTCTTAATTTGCTATCGTTTTCCAAATGCGGGTGTCGAAGCAATAAAGTGGAAGAAGATAGAGAATTCCCTATAAAGAGCTACATGCCAGTTTCAGAAAACCATAATTTCTCACTGATAGAACAAGACAGCTTGTATCCAGTGTAACTTTTACCTCACCGGCAACGTTATGGGCATTAATTGTCTTTCTCCCGAATGGTACTTTTTCCTAAAAACCCTCCGGTTTACATTTGTAAATGTTCAGATATTTTCGCATAAAACGGATTGTACACGATGCATATCGGTTAAACAAATGTGAATTTCGTACGACCATAGCGATGTTATATCGAAAATGTTTCTTGCACGTCAGAATATAAGGCACAATGCTTGGAATCGATGTTATGTGGGAAAGAATGAAACAGAACAGCGCAGCGCACACGGTATCATCAAGCACTCCATCCATTTAATAAGGCGTGCTGATGATGACGCAAAAACACCTGTGTTATATAAACACTCTCATAGTCACAGTGCACTTTGTTCTACGGAACATCAAAATCACATTATAGCAGAAAGACCGCTGAACCGAAACATCGTTAGGAAATGGAAACGATTTGTATCACATCCGAGAAAAGCCGGAAACATTCAACAATGTTGCTATCACACATTATTGAAAAGAATATAATTACCAGTAATAGCTATCCGCTAGCTGCACTGTTCATTTTCACTGATATCTGAGTTATTCAAGAGCATGCCTGTAAATTCTATGATTGTTTTCATCGCGTGTCTAATGAGTCCCATTCGTCAAAGTGGCACGAAGAACGTCATATTTCTTGCTCTAACCCAAGCAACGAATTCTAACCATTGGATCCTAGGTCAACCTTTGTGTGCCTGATTTCTTTTGAAACCCAGGAGCTGACAGATCATGTCCAGCGGTTATGACTAGAATGAACGACGTGTCTTCAGCACGTTCGATTTCCTACCTCTCGACCTATGCGGAACTGTTTTTAATCTTTTGTCGTCGATAGAAATCTAACCAAACAACGACAACGACAACGACAACGAAAATCTGTACCAACCTCGCGTCAGCTTAAGAAGATCAGTTTATAAGATCTCATAAATAAATCTAACCACACTTCTTCTTTCTCGTTTGGGTGGTACGAAATACTTATATTGTTGTTTTCATAATAGTGAATTAAAGTAATTTAGAGGTGTACATGAAGACATGAAGAGCGATGATGTCAAAAAGTTGGCGCAAAATCATGCGATCTTTGTCCTTCTTTTTTTTCGCTCAGATCTAGAACTCGGTAATTCAGCATTCGTTGACCCAGGCATACATCACTGGAAGAGTTTGCCAATTATAAATAAGGAATCTGGAATAAATCTATTTCCCCCGAACGTAGTTTTCATGGGTTCAGGCGAAGATCAATATTGTGTTCGGGCAAAGACCACTGCTTCGAAAGAACCAGTCCGGCATCCGTTGGACTAATGCTTCTAGGAACGATGTCATCATCATCCCCACGATGTATGGCTAAGCGCCATTGACTCTCGCACTCACGTTACTCTATCTCAGTTCTTAGACGAAAAATAATTTTAGCGAAATATTTTCTTCATATTGGGCCTCTACTATCTCATCGATGACATTTGCAACATAGCTCATGAGGCACCATTCTCCACTAATCAGTCATAGGCTACTCATTCATGGTTTCATGAAGAATTCTATCTCGAAATAAGAGAGAACGTCTTCATTGACTCTATATGGAGAGGCCTCGTAGCCTCCATATACTACAATAAGTATAGTAAGTGCATGGTTATGATAATTTGTAATGAACCCTTTTCAAAACGATTCGTTTTTACATATTTGCCTTGATGCGATATCCCATCAATCCTATTAAGGCCTATTCGTAAAGGATTCTAGAGACACAAAAAAGACAAGAGGAACAGCAAATGAAGATGTCGTGTGTGTTTTCCTTCTGCATAACAACGCAGTCTTATTGGATTTCCACTGGTTAGGTATATTGCTTTCTAAGAGGAGAAGTGCGTGAAACGACGAGCCAATATGCTGATGAGGACTAGCGGGAGCATTTTCAGTTGCTCGAGTCTAATCATGAAAAGGTATGCCGGCAATTGGAAATGCATTTCGAAAAGACCTGAGGAGAATTCATGGAGGGTCTTCTCATCGCCTATCTGTATACACAGACTGTTCAGACCAAGTGTCAGAAACAGCTAATTGTCGACGTGAAATTATTGGGTATTGCATGTGCTTCTTCTAACATCTAGAACTTCGGATAATATTGTTGATCATCATTTCCAAATATCTTCTTTTTTTTTAAATTTCAGACAAAAGTTAGGAATTGCCTGCGGCTTGGACCTATATGCTGGTTTGTTAGTTTACGAGTTTCACAAACCATTGCCCAATTACAGATTCTAGACTTTTCTTACCTTGCGATAAAGACATTTCATAAGCGGATCATATCCAACGTCAGTGTTTAGCGAAACTTTTCCAAAACTGGGTTCGAAAATAGAAAAGCCCTATCTCGTAGCATTTTTGAGTAATGCTGTATTAAATTCGAAACTTTCTCTTCATTTCGTGAAAGAAGTTTTCCACTAACCAAAACAAAATGCGATCCAGACTGAAACACTGGCATGATGGCAATATCGGTTAGGCAGGAATTTGAATACACTACCATGTGGTCTCAATTAACCCTGGTGCATTCCAATCTCACGTTCAATGGCAAGAGGGTGGTTTCCGCAATTGCGAGTCACCTTGTACGGGCGAATCTAAATACTCTCATCTTGTTCGTTCCCGTCCAATTCGTAGGTCCTAATGCAAAATTATAACAGCAGAAAATTTTCCGCCATCACACTAATCATGACAAACCTTTTAAGTTTAAGGTGATCAGATGAATAGTTCCTCCCAACGGTTTACCGCCTCATCGTGGCTGGAATGTGTCCCTGGGTGTCGGACTGCGAAGTACAGCGGGGGATTCGTCCTCCCTGCAGGGTTTCCCAAGCTGAGATGGAGTCCAGCGTTTCCATCAAGAAACCCAGCTAAGAGTAAGCTAATACCATGAGCCACCACCGTTCTGGTATCAAAATCGCATGGTGGCAAACTACCCTCTGATCCACAAAGGCCGACACTGCCTTTGGTGGCGAAGACCTGAGACAGACTTTGGCCAGGCTGACCTCGGGATTCCAGGGAACACAATGGCTTAACCAGCAAATCTCCGAAAAATGGTGATTATGCTGGGGCCAGCACAACTAGTGAGGACAGGCCGTTCAAGTATCAGGTAACTAAGATGAATAGTTTATTTTATTACGTTTAAGCTACTAACATGTAACACAATTTTTTACGACTGCATTATGAAGTTCGGGTAGTTTAGTTCGGCTTTGAATAATAACGACGGCCATCTCT